CCCGGGCGACCTCGCCTGATATCGGTGGTAGCTTCCAAGGAAGCTTCCATGGCCCCTCGCTAAAGGAAAGTGTCAGCCGTTCGACTCTCGCCGAGGAGAATGAGGAGACCGAGGCTCATCTGCTGGAGAAGACCTACGCTCACGAACTAATCTACAAGGAGGGATCGGTGATGGGTGGTAGCCTTCGCGCTCTCATTGAGAAGCTCACTGCTCACCAGTCCACCCCCGATGCCATGTTCGTCTCAACATTCTACCTCACCTTCCGTCTCTTCGCCACGCCCCTTGAATTCGCTGAGGCTCTCGCTGAACGCTTCGAGTACATCGGTGATACTCCCCACGCTGCTGGACCCGTCCGCCTGCGTGTTTACAACATCTTCAAGGGCTGGCTAGAGTCGCACTGGCGCCACGACCGTGACAACATCGCCCTGGATTTCATCCTCCACTTTGCCAAGACGAGACTGGTTGCTGATCTGCCCACTGCTGGCAAGCGTCTGATTGACTTGGGAGAGAAGGTGTCCACAGTTCACGGCCCTGTTGTGCCTCGCCTGGTCTCATCCATCGGCAAGACCAACACTTCAATTGCATCATACATCCACCCCGATACTCCTCTGCCTCCTCCTATCCTCAGCAAGAAGGAGAACAACCTTCTCAAGCAGTGGAAGAACAACGAAGCCTCGATTAGCATCCTTGACTTTGACCCTCTCGAGCTCGCTCGGCAGTTGACTATTAAGGAGTCCCGCATCTTCTGTTCCATTCTCCCCGAGGAACTCCTCGACACGGAATGGACCCGGAAGTCCGGCTCACTGGCTGTCAATGTTCGCGCCATGTCCACTTTGTCGACCGATCTCGCCCACCTGGTTGCTGACTCTATCTTGAATCTTGAGGAGCCCAAGAAGCGTGCTACCACCATCAAGCACTGGGTTAAGACTGCCAACAAGTGTCTCGAGTTGAACAACTACGACTCACTCATGGCCATCATCTGCTCATTGAACTTGTCAATGATCTCCCGGCTCAAGAAGACATGGGACATTGTTTCCCAGAAAACCAAGACGACCCTCGAGAACCTTCGCAGCATCGTCGACGTCTCTCGCAATTACGCTAAGCTTCGTCAACGCCTCCAGAACCACGTGCCTCCCTGTCTGCCCTTCGTCGGTACCTACCTGACCGACCTCACCTTCGTCGACCACGGCAACCAGTCGCTTCGCACCCTGTCTACCGATGATAGCGAGATGGCAGTGATCAACTTCGACAAGCACATGAAGACCGCCCGCATCATCAGCGAGCTCCAACGCTTCCAGATCCCCTACCGCCTGACCGAAGTCCCCGAACTCCAGGCTTGGTTGCAGAACGAGCTTGTGCGCGTACGCTCCAACGGCGAAATCACCGCCCAAACCTTCTACCGCCGCTCCCTGGTCCTTGAGCCCAGAGAAGCATCTCGCAGCGGAAACACCCTCCAGTCGCAGTCATCCGACTACAATCCCTCACTCCTCGACAATGCCAAAGACAAGTTCGACTTCCTCTCCTGGACCAACCAGTCCAAGGCGAAGTCCGTCCCAACGCATGGTTAATCTCCGTGAACCTACCTCTTATTACCTCACAAACTTATGACTGATGACCTACTACTTATCTCATTCCTCATATCCGGTTCACTGGTGTTTCATTCCATATCCTTCCGACCGCTGTTCTACTATGCTCGCTTGCATCATCTCATTTAACTTTCCACATCATTTCTGCGATTTGTGAATATCCCACTATCTTCTCCAGCTTACTCTTTTTTATTTCTGGGCGGCACTTTTGATATCTTTTGTTTCGCTATTCTCTACGAGAATCTAGCATTTGAAAAGCGGCTATGGAACGGGATCTGGGATTCGACCACATGGAGTTTTACCGAGGGCCTTTGCTTTTTTATTTTTATTTTTATTGTGCTGTTTTTTTTGCGTGATATCTTAATTTCTGTTGTATCTGTTCTTTTCGGTCGGGGATTTGGGAAAAGGGGACAAGGCGGACTTTGGGGTTGGGAAAAGGGTCTTTCTCTCCCGGGCTCGGATTTCCTCAAGACAGGACTTTATTAGCCTCGCGGCTTCTGTACAGGAGCTATGTTTTAAGCTGCCTGCAATGCAATACCCTTATTATATCATCATTCTCTGTATTTGTAGATTCTTTCATTTAACAAGTCGTAGTCGTAGTCTTCGTCTCCATTGTCTTGACACCATGAACTGGCACTTCAAATTCGATACCCACTAGAGTGTAATATTACGTCCAAGTCAATCCTTGCTATACTCTGTTCACCGGAGGACAAGCCTAGAAACTGCATATGTGGAAGGCTTGACTGACCTCAAGCCACATTAAAGACCTTATTCCAAATCATAGCATGACATTCTGATAGTCAATTCGCGACACATCAGATCGAAGCAATGCCAAATCCACTACCGTTATAGCCTGCATTGCATGCCTCTATGATCCATCAATTGAGATCCAGAACCCCAAATCCCTAACGCACCAAAGATAATTCCCATTTAACAGGAACCAAGTGCCCCATAATCTAACGCGAAACATCAGAAACAGGAAAAGCAAGCACAGGAACCAAATCCCCCTCAACATCCCCAAACCCTCTCCCAAACAAACCCGATCATTCATGAAAAAATCATGCCCACCAACGCTCTCGTCCCCAAGCTCCCGCTGATAATCCTCAATCATAGGACTTCAAACAGCAGGCAGCATAGCATCAACCCGAATCCCATACTAGGATAAGATTTCCAGATTTTATTCTTCTTTCCGTTCTTGTAGCAAGTTGTAGAGACAATCTGATGTCAATCAGTGCTGTCTGATATTGTAGTTTGTTGATTCGATGACCGTGTTGATACGTCCCTGTCCCATAAACTGTCCACTAGCCTTCAGGGCTCTATGCTTTGACTAAACCGACTCGCATTGAAAATATATGAGGACTATGTGAAGAAAGAGGAATCTATAGTTGAAAGGAGTAATGCTAGCTCTTGAAGTAATGTTCATCTCAAAAAGCGAGCTTGAAGGCCCAAAGACCCAGGCCGCCCGCAACACATGTCCCACTAAACACCTAGTATTCACATCTGATTCTTGAGGGATTTCCCTGACTGCTTATAGTCCTGATATAATATCCCAATTGACTCAATCACAGACTTTATTTCCAAGTTTTCTTCCGTGGTGGCGTGTTCGGGTCGAAAACCTCGCAACATCCCATCAAAGCTCGGCCTCTGAATTCTCAACAACCACCCATTCATTCCAGTGAGCATCGGGTACAGAATAAACATGTCCACAAACTTTTGGGAAGAAAACCATATTCTCTATTCTCGAGATGGAATCTCCGAGTAGCGGATCAACATGATCCTCGCCCGACTGCCATCCCCTGACTATGAGCCGATTTGGTACCAACTCTGCGCCCATCTTTCCATATCGGGCGGGTTATCGCAATGGATGGTCTCGTAATAATGTTATGGAATTTGTGGGCTCATGCTTGAGCCTGTCTATTTCCTGGGATGCTACTCTTGTCATAATTGCGTGATCATCGAGCGAGGCGTATATACACTCCTTGGCTTGGATGGACTATAGCTAATCATAGACAATTATTTGAAGGTATTCGTCTAGAGGTAGAGTGCAGCACTGTTGGTAGCCAGGCAAATTGAGAGCCTTTTGATTTCAACTTTCAAGCGATTTCAAATTATCTAGCTCGGGTTGAGTCTATTTGGCTTGCGTCGCTTTTATGAAATCATACACCCCTATCCATTGAAATGGTACAAAAGTTCTTCAAAAGAACAGTGGAGTTCTTACCTGAATGTGATAATCGAATTTCTCAAAACCTTTGTTACTTGTATGTGATATCATTGTAAACTGACAAGAAAGTCTCGAGCCCTCAAAATTACCACAGTGCGTTCGTTAGCCATAACTTTCCATGTCACATAAACCCAACAACCTTTATGTTGTGTACGATCTGATTAAAGTTCAGATTCTACTGTGACACATTGTTATTGAAGATCAAAAAGACTAGTCCAAGTGTCACTCCATTCCATCAGTTTCTATTTTCATTAGTGGCCGATCCTTGCATAAACCCTACGCCACATTTCCGACACCACGGTACATGTACTGTGTACTGTACAGCAGACAGGTAAGTGTTAAGTACAGTATTGTAAGTCCCAGATCGGCATGCAAGGGATACATTCAACTTACCCCAAGTTCGAACCGAAGCAGGATTCTTACTGTAATACCAGATTCAAGTGGACAACCTGCTGTCAGTTATGTGATGTATTGGAGTAATGCAGCCACCCATGGGCGTCAAAGGCGTGCAAGCCCAGGACGAATCGAAATTTTCTTGATGTCATGCATGATTTATGCACGTTGTATCTATCTTGTTCATGCTGGTCCATACAGTCATACAAGCCCCAGCGGATGGAAGCTGCGAAACTAGAATGCTCCTCGCGTGAGGGTATCCAATTGTTTCTAGTTGAAGTGACTGATCTCGCAGGTTTCAATGTATGGTGCTTTGCATGGATTTCGATGTTTTAAAGTCTATTAGAAACGGAGGTTGCATTTTCACTTTCTTGGCTGTGACCCGAGGCAAAGGAAAGTGATCGGTCATATGTGGTAAGAAAGTCGAACCCTGGGTTCAATGAGGGATTTTCGAACTGCCTGGAAGGCATCTGGGCAACGACTCACTTGAAGCTGCAGGCCTAGGCGGGGGAAAGCGATAGATCAACCAGGATAGACCGAGCCTGCATACGGCTACTCTAGGAAGAAGATGTCAAAGTAGAATCCACAAAACTCACTTTAGTGGCCTCGTATGCAAATAGTGCGAGATTCAAAATTTTCCAAAATTGATGCTGTTCAGCAGTTTGTATACAATAATATCCTGTTGCGGGTTCCAAATACCAAAATGCCCGACGTTTTCTGTATAAAAACCAATCCAAAACATCTATGTTACATACTGGGACCGAAACGCCTCCACGAAATCCAAATCTGTTTTGTCATCGTTAAAACTCATTTCCCTGGTATCCAGATGCAGAGGCAGGGGTGCGGTGGTGTTGGGGGAGGGAACGAAGGTCAAGTATTGGGACCATTGAAGGGCGCCCATGGGCACACTGGAATGGAAAGGCGCAGCGAGCCAGCCGAGCGACTAAAGCTTGGCACTCCTCAATGCTAAGGTGATCATTGAACATGATAGCGGTGCGACATGCGCGAGAATTCAGAAGCTCAACAATGCCGTCGGGACATCCATTCATCTGCTGAACCCACGAATGAGAAGTGAAGGGCCTTTTTTCTGGCTTGAGCACCGTGTCTTCACAGTCTGACAGATCCGAGTCCTGTTCAAGCTCCTCAGTTGTGAATGTGCTCTTAGACCGAAATGGCTTCTTGTCATTCTCCTCACTTGACCAGATCTCACGTCTCATCAAGTCGACCAGTACATGAGGTTCAAGGCGACAGCGCTCAGCTATAAGCGCAGGAAGAGTGTGCACGGTGACTGCGGCAGTAGATTTGGTCTTCAATTCTGTCGTATACAGAATACCCCAGGCAGAGAAGACACCCTTATACTTTTGAAAAAGATCACCCTCTGTCGACGAGACTTCAAATGCCAAAGAAGCGATTTGGACAGTTCGCACTTGGGCACCTTGATCCAGAGTCCCGGTTGTGTCGGGAGAGACAAACATGTCACCAAACAACTGTTCAACTCGGCATCGCTCATCAGCCGCGTGCTGGTCAATTAAAAGCAGAAAATTGTTTGAACGCTGATCCCCACCGAGTTTCTCGCCAGCAGTATGTAAATTGGCAAGAATGAACTTCTTGTCTACCTGGGCAATAACCTTAGCGGTTTGGAGGCCGCGACGTCGGAGCTTCCCTCGGTATTTCGCAACCTGTGCCGTCTCCAGAGACTCAATACCCTTGAAGTAGTCATGTGGAGTGGTTTTGTTCTGTGGCCCGGTGGAATCTAAACCTAAATTTGGTATAGGCATTTCCGTTCGGTTGAAAGCAGGGTTCTCCCATGCGCCCAACATGCTTTCTACCCAAAAGCTCTGTGTTGGAAGTTTCGACGAGGCACCAAGAGAGCCCGTTGAACAAGAATGCTGAAGCGGTATCGATTGTCGAGGGTTTGTTGTTTGGCCCGTGTGAGGATTTATTAGATAGGCCAACTTTGTATGCGGATCAATCCAAGTGATCATCTTGTCTGAAGGTGGGCACTCAGAATTATCCTGCATTCTGGCCATATCTTGTTCCGTCGACTTTGGCTTGGGCAATCCGGATGACTCGGTGAAGTCTATGCAACCCCTGTCCCGATCTGACTTTGACCCAGTCAATGTAGGCAAGGACCTACCCTCCTCACTCGGTTCGAGATCAACATGCGAATGCCGAGTTCGTGGAGTTGCAGAGTGAATTTGTTGGTCTTTTGCTGCTTTGACTCTAGACCAATTAGTAAAGCTCTGACCAGAATTGATGGATTGAGGTCTTGGAAACGATGGTAGCTTCACGCGACCACTCAACGCTTCTTCGGTGGTTGACACAGACTGGCCTTGACTGATGGAATCATGAGTCATTTCGGAACCCTTGGACTCCGTGGGGCGAAGGCTCCGAGTCCGATCCGATGAAAGTGTTGGCCGCTTGGTTTTACGGGGACGCATATTGTGCTGCCTCAAAAACTCGTAAACCATAGCCCCAAGTACATCGACAATCCGTTGAATTGACTTGTCTGATTCCGGAAAAGTCTCACGTCCATCATTGTCCCGCTGGAGAGCGATGCTCGTGTCAACACGTATGTAGAACATGGGCCATTTGTTGATGGGCTTTGCCCAGCTTCTGGTACTTGAATTACTAGGAGCATCTTGCCGACTCACTGAAACTGCTGGGCTGGCGGCCGACATCGCGTCGGATATGGCTCCAGCATTCCCAAAGTCGGACAACGAGAACAGTCGGTTGACCTCATCGTACAGAACGTTTGAACTACTGCGTGACAGCAAAGGTTCTTTTCCTACCGAGATAAATTGAACCTTTCGGGTCGGGCTGGGTAAAAGAGATATTGCTCCTCGAACTGCAAGATCAGGAACCGAGGCAGACAGTTCATGCCAATGTTCCACGTGTCGGGAAGAGATCAGCCCAGATTGTGTGAGAATCGAACCAATGCGCTTGAGGTTAAAATCATTATCGCCGCGTGAGACGTGTAGATCGGACACAGAAAGGGCGCCAAGACGAATGGAGACCCGTTTACTTTTCTCTGCATCGGACAGGACAAATTTCGAGAGCTGGGGATTGCTCAACATGAGAGACACCAAGGAGTATCTCAAGTTGTCCCACTCTCGTTCCAACTCATCGGACTTCTGAAGTGCGAGTGCTCGACTCTTAACACGGACTGGCATATTTCCAAAAAGGTCATTGACTGTAACAGACGTGCCATGGTTGCCAAAACGGAGCACTTGATGCGGCGGTGCAGGGATCAGCCGTGCAACAGGTGTCGAATGATGCAATATAATGGAGTTTGTGCTCTCATATTGGATATGATGAGAGGTCAGGGTCAACAAAGACAGGGAGGCCAGGGAGGCCAAGAACAACCCCCGGTGGCCAAACGAGCCGCTCAGATTGAATTTAGATGTATCTACCACAGGCATTAGCAGACATGAGATGGCGCTAGGACTTGCATACATACGGTGAGCTTTGCCGAGTCCTCCAGTGGCTTTGAATTCAGCTGGAGGGATTCCATCGCCATCGTCTTCAACTAGGCAACCACCACGTTTGAAGTCGACAGTCACGAAGATCGTACGTGCATTGGCATCCAAAGAATTTTTGACCAACTCCACAATGACACCATTCAAATGAGAGATAGAAGTTGAGGATTTGATCTTTGCTATCACATCAGGAGGCAGCGCTTGTATTGGCTGAGAAGGAGGCATCGACGCAGTTGTTTGATAGCTTGGCATTCACTGTGGCATTTCCCCGCAGGCAATGGAGTTGGGAGCACGACTAGAAGAGTGCGCATGAATCATGGTGTCACATGCCTTTCTCTTTCTAACTCTTTAATTGCGAATTGCGAACACCGTGAATGGAGCAAAAGTGAAGATGCTGCGAGTATGTGAGAGGCAAGGGCACATGACGTCCACGGATAAACAGTCCTCCCGCCTCCACTTGCCTCGGCGTTCAATCCTCTCCCTGATCCCTTGTCTGCCCACAAGGGTTGTGAAGCCTGTAAAGCCCATCATGGCTACTGCTGAAGGTCCTGCAAGGGTGCACGGTAAGTACAAGCCTTCTTGCTTGATTGAAGCCTTGCTAACCCCTGGATGCCCGACAGACCGAAATGCACGTCGTCGCCCGTTCTCAAGCTGGATGAAGCGCCTGGCGAACCTCAAAAGCTCCTCCGATTCGACATCCAACCGCTGGTCCAACAAGCGCCATATAAATAATAAGGGCAAGAAGAGCGACCAAGGCAACAATCCATACCCTCTCTCTGGAACCATCAATCGTCACCCAGGAAACCAAACACCCACCGACTCGTACACAGATCAAAACTATGGCTCAGAGTGTCGCTCACGAAGTGGATCTTCTATGGTCCTATCGAATTACGATAACCCGGCTCCTATGACCAGTGCGAAATCGAATGCGCCGACTATTTCGACGAACGGTGACACCACTTTCTCCGAAGCCGCCTATTCAAAGGCTGGCACCTTGACAACTGGCACTGAAGGTTTCAGTACCCATGGAGGGGGAGGGTAGCACTTTTTCATCGCCGGCGCCCTCGGTTCGATCGTTGACAACTACCCTGACGACCGTGCACTCGGCGGCGCCCTCGACTCAGTTGTACAACACACAGAACAATCACCATGGACACCACAATGGCAGCTCAACAAATGGGTCTACGAACCAGCAAGTTCAATTCTCTCATCAGTTTCCCTCAACCTCGTCGCCGGCCACCGCGGTCCCTTCACACTTGGTTCCCCACCATTCTATGACCTACAGCACCGCAACTGCCAACAATGTTTTGACTGATAATGCTTCTCTCCTCACCCTCGCGAGCTCTTCTAAGCGACGCCGCCGCAACTCTCTCGATACCAATGCATCTGTGCGTGCGTTGGCTCCGTCCTCAGTATTCGGCGGTAGCCGCGAAAGCCTGCCACTGAGTGTTTTGAGTGGGAACACAAACGAAGCATCCAACACATCTGTTTTCAATGCTTCCGGTGTCCTTAGTCGACCAAGCATTGTTGGACTTGCTAGCGCAGAGCGCATCAGTGTTTATTCGTCCTCCGGGGCTACCCAACTAGCTACCAGCGCCGAGCGGACTGGCTTTTACACTACCAAACAAACGGCCAGCGGTGACGGAGCCAGCATTCGCAGTGGTGTGCAATCGCACAGTCGAAACGACAGTACTGCTGCCAGCATCGTAGGTGGTGTTAGCTCTCCATTAGCCCTTACTGGTCGCATGAGCCGCAGAAGCTCCGGCTGGGGAGAAATTACTGGTGAAGAGGACAACAACGAGGATAAGCGGACTGAAATGAAGGAGGAAGAGGAACCGGCGACCGAAGATGAGAATGGCTCTGATGAGCCACCGAAGGAATGATTCCACATGGCATGGTCGCCATGTATCAGCTGGTTCCAATTGGCTGGCGATGCTTGAAGCTTGAATGACGTTACGCAAGGACATTTCGGAATTTGAGCGAATAGCGATTCTTTACTACATAATGACTTGATGCATTGAGCTTGCGGATTCGGTTATTTTTAATGGCTTGGTGGCGTTTTCTAGGCTGGGACTTTGATACCCTATGCGGTATGGACAAATTGATCTTTACTTCTCCATTCATACTGCATGCAAATCCATCTCATATATTCAGTATAACCTGATCGGATTGCTTTCTGGATAGTTGCATTCTTAGATGCATGTCTCTCGGGCCATTGACGCCAATCCCGGTCTACGACGAGTACCATTTCATCGGCGCCGGATGAACATCGGCATATCGTACTGATACACAAACCAGGCATTCCGATACTTCCACTCATGCTTGGGGTTTACTAGTTGAATCTGTTCACAAGTCAGCACTAACAACACCAGTCTAAGGAGACCATAGACCACTCACGTCGAACGAGCTATAAAGCGTCGCAATCAACTTCTTGATTTCCAGCATAGCCAGGTAGCGACCCATACAGACACGACCACCGCCACCGAAAATAAAGTCGACAGTATCCTTCATGCGCCGCTGGCGATCCTCAAAGTGCCCAGGGCTCTCATCCTCGCCCTGCAGCCAACGATCAGGTTTGAAGGTATCAGCATCCTCGCCGAAAACTCCATAGTCCCGGTTTGTGACGAAAGGATTAATTCCCGCTTTCGTGCCTGCAGGGAGATACCGCCCATCAGGAAGCGTGAATCCACCCTCTGGAACGATACGTTCGAATACCATGGCAATACCGGGATTCATGCGCATAGTCTCGCGAATGACGGCGTCCAGATAGGATAAATCGCGGATCCTCTTCCAGGATGCAGGGGCAGAGATACCAGCGGCATTTAGTTCGGCTACGAGCTTTGTTGTTGCTGATGGTGTCTTGGCCAGGTAGTATACTGCGGCTCGCATGGTGGCAGAGCTTGTGTCGCCTCCGGCGAGAATGCTTAGCATTAGCCAGTTTACGATTTGGTTGTCGTCTACCACGTCTGGGTATGTTTCCTTTAGCTGAACATATTTGTCAAGTGTGTGGTCAACGGTGCCTGTGGAGGTATTCTTCTCAGCTAGTTGGGCTTGATACTCGGCAACGACCTTGAAGGCGTATAGCACACCAGTCAAGGTAGGCTTTGGACCGATGCGCTTGATCGGGTTTTTGTCGAGCAAATTGTCAATCCATGGGATTTGGGAGACCTATTAGATTATAAGCTTCATTTTGACTTCGATTTGGCGATGATAACGCTGTCTTACCGGTGCGAAATACATCAGACCGGCAGTTGAGTCGGTGATAAGATTATCAACATCCTTCTCCTGGTCAAGGAAGCCATAATGGCGGCCAAAACTGAAATTGGCGGTGACATCCCATGCAACTTTACAAGGTGTTAGCCTCTACATGACCCCTGTTCCAGGGTGCGTCCCACGATATACTTACAGAAACCAATCCATTCATCTGCAGGGCAGACCTTCCCTGCGCTATTGCCATCCACAAATTTCAAAGCGAGCTTGTCCACAAATTTGTTCAAAGTCTCATCGATAAGAGGCTCATATTCCAAAACCTTGGTCATAGTCCACAGACTTCGAATCGGGCGAATGTTCTGGTTATGCCAATCTTCATCCTGTGTATTAAAGAGGTTTGAAATTCGGTGGCCTTGAAGTAGAACATCGTTCGGGCGATACATATCACTCTATCGTCGTAGCAGGTTAGCAACGCCATATTAAGCCATTACAATAAGCTATACGCAAGGAGTCCTAGTGTCGAACCTTCTTCCACGGATTGCGCGTCGAGTAAATCGTCCGAATGAGACTAGGGTCCGAAATGCTCACGCAGTTCGGACCTATCTGCACGGCTGTCCCATACTTGCGATGTAACTCGACGTGCTTCAGATCGACACGTCCACGGTAGGTATGAAATGCACGCCAAAAGTCCGTGGCCTTGGCCAGTGCTGGACCGGGGAAGGTTCTCAATCGCGCAAAGAACAGATTCCAAATGAGGCTTGTCATAAAAAGCAATGCTAAAACGGTAAGGCATTGGGCCCACAGGCTGGCGGGAATTGAGAACAGTTCCGACATGGTCGGTTGGGCACGAATTGCATACAAAGTACGTGCAGGAGGTGTTCCAACTTCAATTCAGGCAGCAAACCCAACAATGTGGCTGACTTGAAACGTGGTTGACAGTCGTAGCTTTTACAACTTCCCCCAGAGCCCCGAGCACTAGGGCTTCTAACGGAAGTCATGGTTTATTTTCACCACGAGGTGCGAGCGGGGTATGGAGAAAAGGCGAACCGCGCAAAGACCAGCGTTCTAGACAATGTTTTGCCTTGTCATCACCGGTGCTCTGGGTACTGTATCCTAGCCGCATTAGTGTCCTGCGGACGGGGGTGAACAGGATGTGGAACCCTTGTTTTGCAACGGCGATGAATGGCCCATTCAAAACGCCGGTGCCCCAATACTGGCCAGAACAACCTTCAGTCTGACAGCGGCGCAGCTCTAGTGTCCGAACAAGCCTCCAAGTGCCAATTTTGCTTCGATTCCGCAAAATGTGGCTTGTGACCGTGCGTTTACTAGCCGCGTTGAATTTTCAGGAACAAGATCATGTCGGCGTGAAAATACCATACAAACACGATTACTAAAGACTATTAGTGTCAGTGACTTCTTTAGTCTAGCGATATGTCGTCGTGACAGATCATTCAGCAACCCACCGGACCACTACCCGCAACAAGGACTAGCAAGAATATTATGCCGACACGTCCACCCCCATGATAAGCGAGTCCATGCACGGCTTTGAGCTTGTCCGGATGAATATTTTGAGACCCATAAGTTTATTTCTACCAACGTTATATGTGATTCTGTTAATGTTTAAATCCCTTCCAATTCTCATAGCGTTGTTCATGACCTGATTCTACGGCATGTCTGCGGTGAATCTGCCCCGGAGTTTGTTTTTGTTGATGAGGGGGTGAAGTTTTCGTTAGCCCTCAAAAGGAGTAGCTCAGCTTTAGTCTCAATTTCGTCGCCGATCGGCGAGCGACTATCACCGATCGAACATCTAGTATGGATAGTGTTGGCGCCGATCGGCGAGATCACCGAAAATCTTGGTCGTGGACTGCGGTTGAGCAGCATCGGATTCGGCACATGGGTGAAGTAGGACTATACAATGCTAGAAAATGAGTCTCCGTTACCGGAATCTAGCACCGCCACACCTCGGGGTGAAAGGATGTATATAAGAAGATGGGAAGAACCACGCAGAGCAGCAGGCATTCAGCAAAATCGGGTTATACTTGCCATCACTCGATAAACGTCTCTTGAAAGCAAAAAAACAATTTCCACACATTACTCTCGCGAAGTTTTCGAAATGACAGAAGTGAACGTCAATAGCGGCCATGCTGCCACACGCCTTCGACGTCTGCTCGCGGAAAGCCCCATTGTCCTCGCGCCAGGAGTATATGATGGTTTCAGCGCGAGGGTTGCGCTGGAATTGGGCTTCAACTGTCTTTACATGGTGAGGTAACCTAGTCTTTATTCCTCCGTGGAAAAATGGCAGTAATAAACGTGCTAACTTGTACGTCGTCACTCACAGACTGGCGCAGGTACATGTGCTTCCAAACTTGGACAGCCCGATCTAGGGTTCGCTACACTGAACGACATGCGCGAACATGCCGAGATGATCGCCAATTTGGATCCCAGCGTCCCACTTATCGCCGACGCAGACACGGGTTACGGTGGACCGAACATGGTAGCGCGCACTGTAGAGCAGTACCACCGCAGCGGCGTTGCCGCCCTGCATATCGAGGACCAGATCCAAACGAAGCGATGCGGCCATCTAGGTGGTAAGGAGGTCGTGCCGCTTGATGTTTTTGTGTCTCGCTTCAACGCCGCTGCTGCTGCTCGACGCAAGCTTGGTTCGGATATTGTCCTCATTGCGAGGACGGATGCGTTGCAGACACATGGGTTTGAGGACGCGGTGAAGCGGCTGAAGGCAGCTGTCCAGGCTGGTGCTGACGTGGCCTTCCTCGAAGGCGTGACGACTAAGGAAGAGGCGGGAGAGGCGTGTCGTTTGCTATCGCCCACGCCGGTGCTGCTCAACATGGTCGAAAATGGGGCCACGCCGTCGTGGACGCCTGCAGAAGCGAAGGAACTCGGCTTCCGCATTATAATCTGGCCCTTTGCTGCCATTGCTCCAGCATACGATGCTATTCGCAATACATATCGCCGGATCAAGGAGACAGGGTCAACGGGGATCAATCCGGAGTTCACGCCTAAAACCCTATTTACCATTGTTGGTTTGAAGGAGGCTGTAGCTGTTGATGTTGCCGCGGGTGGGACTCTGTATGACAGAGTTTAGATCAGCTTGAGAAGCATAGAAAGTGAGATACATGTATGCAAGTGACCTAGTTTCCCGCAATTTGGTTCACATTACTTGTGCAAGAAAACATTATTCCCCCCATGTAAACCGCCATTGCCCAACTGTTGATACGCCCCGGCAGGAGGAAATAACATCATCATTATCTGTCTTGAATGGTTGAATGCGCATGGAAAATGCATAAAGGATTTCCACCGGGTGAGGCGGTGTTAAATTATTCAAATAATACTGATATCCTATTAAACTGGATCGTTGTGGGAATCTGACGCGATAACTGGAAATTAGATTAAGAATCCGTATGAATGGTAACGAAGACAGTGAATCATCAATATCATTGCAGATGAGCCATATCATCCGACCACTCCAAATTAAATATATCCGCGAGACTGCTCAGGTGGTCAGATTGGAAAATGGTTTGAAAACCACCAGGAGTAGAACCTAGATGTAAGCTCTAGTCAGCAAGCGCAGGAATAATCCTAGAGTATGATACTTATCTAAGCTATTTGATCTATTGTTATTGGATTCTTGACTGGCTTGAAAATGCCTTCGCCACTCCCACAGCGAATCATATACGATACTCATGCTTAGTCTGTTCCGTACGCGCAATTGCAGACCGTCGATTGGCCGTGCACTGGGTGTTTCAGATTCGGGCAAGGAACAGAAAAAGCTAATCACGTCGCTCAGTCTGGCAGGCAAGTCGTTGTTCGCGATGGACATCTTCCTCAGAGTGGATATGACAGAATTTAGCATTTTCTTCCCAGTATCGACATCAAGTAGCGATTGGAAATAGCTATTCGTTATTATCTTCAAGATAATAAGGGATGCGCAAACGAACACTTGGTAGCAGAAAAAGGGACAGTAGTGGAAGAAGCTGCTTTCACTGTCCAACTCGAGGCTTTGTTCAACAAATGAGCAGGCTGTCTGGTATAATGTGACAATGCGTTCCGTATAGCCATCAATGGCAGACTCGTCGAATAAATAGAAGGAATGAAGGTGAAGACGAGCAGCGGACAGGTAGATACGAGTGAGTGCTACATTCTATCAGTCTCCGGGTCAAGCCAAAAGGGGCCATGTTGAATGGGAAGGATATTACGTTGAGCTGATGGGCTGAGCATTTCGCGCTCGAGGTCACTAAAACTGGAGTTGAGCAGGCGATACAACACCAGTCTTTCTTGCTTTGATTTGAGTCCTCCCGGGTCTAATTCGAATGCCAGTGTTACCCTGTGCCGAAACCGTTCGATCTGAAGATGAGAGTCTAGGTTGGCGTCGTGAACTGCGGATAACATATACCCGGGCCCAACTTTCAGAGACCAGTCGGGTAAGTGCGCTACCGTGGGGAGACCACAGCCCACGCCAACACTGTGTGCTTCTGTTAGTATTTATATCTTTCAAAGCAGATAGAGCGAAATACGAACCTGTGGGCAACGATATTACAGGCCTTCCATGTCTTCACCCATGTAGAGTACTCATCTTGCCCCAGATTCAACGAAACTTTGGCGAAGTCCTGAGCATTCAAAGGTTGATGGAGACCCATCTGCGAACCTAGCAGCACCATCATCCCGGCCAGCACGTAAGTAGGGTCAGCTGCGCTGCTACTCGTGGGAAATGGCCAGGCGCAAAGAATGATCAGGCTTTGTACCACACAATGTGAATGGGGAATAGATCGAAGAGTCTGCCATAAGAGATCTGTGACGCTTCTTGCTAGTTTCGGAAGGAGGGTGGGCTGGCTTTCCAACTGTCGTGAAGCCGCGGAAATGATGGCCCAGAAAAGTAACTGAGACGATTGATAGTAATCATGCGGTGAGGTGCTTGGGTCTAAGAATGGGAGGAATGGGTGATAATGCTTCATGTAACTGGCTAATTATAAGAAATGTGGTCCAAAACTCAATTGAAAACACTCACATCGTAAATAATTCGTCAATTTCCTGAACAGATAATGTGACATTGCCCAAAGATCTTGATTGGGGAATCGCTGCCGCAGTTTGCTCTGGTTGCTGGGGAGAATCGATGACAGGCTTCGTGGTTAGGCTGGGCGCCCAAGGATGCTCTGTGACGTCGGGTAAGAGCCCAGATCTTTCACTGGTCGATGCCGCTAGTGTGCAGCTTCTATCCACAACCCTTACACTGTCAATCTCGTCTCTAGTGGCCCAGGGGGGTTGAGATGGGATTTGATTAGACACATTGTCCCGGTTTTCCGGCAATACCGAGTCCAGGACAGGCATTCTATGATGATCGGCTACCAACTGGCGCCGGAGTTCTCTGACTTCATTCTCCAATTCAAAGGGCTGTCTAAAGATGGAGTGAGTACATACAGTCAGCTTCTGTAAGTTTGCATAGGAAAATACAACACTGGCTTTACCTTCGCTTGCGAATCCTCTGGAATGTTAATTCCACTTTGCACTCCAGTCCAAGTTTCTCGCAGCGAGCGCAGATGTTGAGATCCTCGTCGTTCGTCGTACTCAAATTGCACCTTAACTTGAATTATGTCAGGCTTTTGTAGTTGAATGAATGCTCTGAGGTGAAACGTCCCACACCTTCTGTTGTTTACATTCATTGCAAGCCCTACGCCTGGATGATCTTCTCTGAACTCCCGTGGCACGCCTGGTTTGGCTCGATTGTTCTGGGGAAGAGGGAGCAGTCATAGTGAAGTCAGGTTGCAGAACACCAACGAAGACGTCGGATGTGTGTGAAAACCACTCTGCTTCCCCGCACGGCCTGTTTTCGGGCAATGCGATATCGGACAGTTCTATTGGCCTCCGCAATTATATACGCCCCCATAACCCACGCCAGCCCATGTGTATGAACAGCACTCTATAAGTGCGACGCAGTTTATCGCCATTCAATGGGCGCTTAGGGCTTAATTAGTCTAGACTAGCGTGGCATTTGTATTCACTTTATTTTCATGGTTTAGATACTATGTGGTAGTAGAAGTATATTTTCCAAGCTCAAACGCGTGGCATTGGCTGAATGAAAAATATCGGCGATATTATCAAGGTAATCAGAGAAGAATTAGTAAAACAGGAAACTAACATGCGGTTCATATATCAATTTCATGAGCATACAGAGCTAATCCAAAGCACTCATATCCTTTCAGGTTGTGAAGAACCTCGGGGTCACTTGTGAATTCACCGATTCATCAGCAATGCGACGATTTGCCCGCCGAAGCTCCCACTTCAGAAACACGCAAGTGATAGCGCTCAGACTAGCAAAGGCAATGAGAAGAATCATTGCGAGGGCGTATCGGGGCTCATCTCTACCCCGAAAGAAGTACGGACTCATGATGTTACCCAGCTGGGCGATGACATTAATCATCGACGTTGCCACGGCTTTTTTCTCTGAGGTCTGGCTCAGCACACCCGCAGCCCAGGAATAGACCAATCCATTTGCCGCAAAGCAGCCTGTCACATATAGAAACGAGGCCACGTAGCGGGCTGGTCCGTTTATTGTTGATACAGAAATGATGAAGCCGACGATGGCAGTGCACATTGGAAGTGCGATATGTAACGCTCGTTCGTTCTTCCTGTCACTAGACCAGGAAATGACGAATGACAAGATAGCGCCAAGAAGATATGGCGGTGCCGTGCAGAGTAGTGTTACAGTATTGGAACCAAATCCAAACCCTTTCACGATAGCTGGATAGAAGTAGTTGAAGCCATATGCAGCATGGTTGCAGATTAACATGAATACCTGGTCACAGTTGTGTCAGTAAATGATGGATCTGTGATATTGTTCAGGTCACATACAAAGGCCCATGTGCGATAATCAGAAATGGCAAGCTTCAAGCCGTACCATATCGATCGATTACTCTCCTGTGCAATTTGGTCCGCTTGGATTCTCTCGAGGGCGACAATGCGCTCATCTTCTGTAAGAAGCCATTTTTGGCTACCTGTGGTTGATTCTGGAAAATCGGGAAGTATTACAATGGCGATTAGACCGAGAACAAAAGAGATGGCGCCCTCGATGATATATAGCCACTGCCAGGTTAGTATACACCTCTGCAGCTCTAGGCAACAAGGGTCGACACCTACCTTCCATCCAGCAAGACCCCGAGCATTATCAAGACGAGCAAAAACACCTGCGGCAATAAGTCCGGAGACAGCAGTAGCAACTACCAGACCAGAGTACAGGATAGCTATCCTGAGGCCGAGTTCTTTCTTTGTATACCAGCATGAAAGCAGGTAATAAGCACCAGGGAAGAATGGCGCTTCGGCAATTCCCAGAAGAATCCTGAGAGCAATCAGCTGGCCAAAGTTTTGCACGGCCGCCGTTGCGGCTGAGATGCAAGACCACACTAAAACCCATATGGGGATATAAAGGGATGGGCGGACTCGAGTTAATATCATGTTACTTGGGATTTGCATCACCATGTATCTGCACCAAGATATCAACAATGGGAGCCTGAAGGGCAAAGAATCAATAAAGCACCGCTCTTACCCAGCATTCAAAACGGAGACCGCAGTGTTAAAGTCGTCACCAGTAAGCTTCAGGTCTTTCTCGATATTGTTGAGTTTCGACGAGCTGGTGTGTGTCAGCCATTGCTCTTAACAAGTTGTATGTAGCAGAGCCTGGAAAGAGTAACCCCTTACGCAATGTTGTTTCTATCAAGGTAATTAAACATGTACAAAAGCCATACCATGGGGATCAGTGTCATGTCTAGCTTTCTGACAACGCTTCTAGAGAGCCGCTGCCAGTTTTCATCCATAATTGGCTGGCCATCATTTTCAACATCATATTTGGCAGTTTTGATGTCGTCGATCTGCAATGGGGGTTCATGATAAATGGATGTATGCTTCTTTGAAGTCATTTTGTTCGATGCTATAGATGTCGCGGAGCTCCGTGTCAAATAAGACTAATAAGCTGAACCACATTGAAGAATGTTTTCTTTCAGGGGAGTGAAGCATTTAAAGTAGTTTAGAGATGCTTACTTCATCTTTGGGGTGCTAATCCTATAGATGTCCGATCGGTAAGAGTCGTTCACCGATCGGCGACTGAGTCTATGTTAAGGCGGCTTTCCCTCCAGAGCCAGCTTATCCTTTACCCCCGCATCGGCAGAAATGGAGTCTTCCCCAGACTCAGATAGTTCTGCGAGGGATAGGGAGCGATGTCTGTATTGAAGCATATGCAGCGTTGTCCTATGTAGACTCGAATGGCTTTTCTCCTTCTCGGGTACACCCTATCCCACGGGGGTGGCCCAGTCTGGCAGACTGGGGGTTATGGTTTTTTCTTAACTATGGGAGGAAAAGTGGGTCGTACGCCTGCCTGGGAGTTTATGTCGTGGCCAGACTGTGAAGGCGTAGAGTCCTCCGATCGGCCTCAAATTTTCATTAGTTATAAGTTTCTCCTAAAATCGCAAAGGGCGACGTGTGAGACATTTCCATGGTTAAACAGTCTTGCATGGAGACCACGTAAAATCAGGAGATTGGGCTGATTATTAAGGGTTTGTAGCTCTCCGGGACTGTAGCCTGGTGGCATGATGCAGAAATATATCAATATGTAAAAATAAAATGCGGCAGTGTAGAACGCGCTGGTTGGAAACGAAAGAGCTGAATACTTAATAAATGAGAAATTCCATGGTGACTTCCCCATTAAAGAAACCCTACTAAAACAAAACAGTAAGATGAAAGAAACTTGACCTCGGAAAGAGTCTTCGATCCATTAAACACGGAGGACGAAATACAAAAGAGTGATGAAATGAAAGAAATACCATATTAGTGAAAGGGTATCCAACTGGAATCGAATTAAATGAATCGCACTAAATGGATAAGGGAAAACCAATGCGAATCCGACAAGGGCAAAGACAAAGGAATGTACCACATAATAAATAAGATAGACATTTGGACTCGAGTCTACTCCTCATCCTCGTTGCTCTCGTCCTCATTATCCTCAGCCTCCAAAGCTATCATGTCACGGCAAAGAGACATGTCGCCTATGCTGTACAAAAGACGAACCCCATCCTGACCAAGGTCAGAGGATATAGCACAGCGGCAATTGGTCCAGGTCGCCCTCATAGACTCGGGATCTGAGTTGGCGAAGTCAACCTCGAGAGCCACCGCGCGGTAGACTTGGAGCACTCCCTGTCCACAATGGAAGACACTATAGCCCAATTCAGGTGCACGGGAATCAGCTGCGGTCTCGATTTGCCCTAGTAACGCAGGAGAAAGCAAGATAGTTGTTCTTCTATTCTCGTAAATGAACTCAGGCTCGCCCCTTCCCAACAGCTGGTTCAGGAAGAAAAGTCCGGGATTATTGCTCCCCGCCGGTGCGGTGAGCTCAGAGGGAACTATGGGGATAGATGTCCCGAACATTATTGGGACATGCCTTTCTGCAGCACCTGGTACCCGAAATACGAGATTGAGCTACTCTAGTGGTTAGCATGGTCACGTACAGCCAGAGAGTGTTCCTGAACACACAGCGAGGGTTAATGTGGACCCGACAGCAGGCGGCGGACTTGTGTAGAATGAACGGAGAGGAGTCGGGCCAGCGCGGTCAGCCTAGATCACGGTGAGCTGGGAGCTTTTGTAAAGTAATAAACGTACACCTTCTATCCACATGGATTGTTCGAGCGCATTCGCCTTCCCTTCACGCTCGATGCAGTCATCCCACTGGAAGTGCTTCTCGTCGTCTTTAGCACCTCGAATCTAGCATGACACAGCCCAAGACTTCCAAGTCAGTTTACCCTGCCCTTGAGGCGCCATGTATCCTGCCATGATTGCGTTAACGTTGAGCAACTGTCCAGGATTCTCATGAGTTTGCTAAAGGTATCTTTCAACGGCTTCAAGACGTCGAAACACGTTCCACCTGTAAGGTGAGCTCGATTGAAGTTGTACTTTTTCCGCTCTAGCGGCTTGAACCGCCTGCGCAGTCTCTGGACTAACCCGGGGCCGCCTATTCATATTGAATTCTTCGCGATCTGCTGTTATCTAGTTTCTGGATGTGGGCACTTGCAAAGATGAGTGCCGTGAGTGAGATGTTTGACTCAGAGCTCAAGCTTTAAATAGCTGGAAAGAATCAGTTTCACAGCAAGCAGAACGTAATTGAGCTTGTTTTCTTTGTTTCTCGAACATGTTGTCTAGTATCCGCACTGAAAAACACGATACAACTAGTGAAATATAGTCTTTGGGTCTACCAGGCATGTGATTCTGTGATTTTGTTTCACTCATTCATGATAATTTTTGCAGAATGCCTGTTTCTTAGGTGAGGCGTAGGCAGCTAATGAGCCACAATCCCGTCCGCGGTGGCCTCTGATATTACAACTGTTATTCTTTAACCCTCAAAGTTTCTCAGCCCCTCTCTTTTAATCTACGTATTCTAGAGTGTGACACATATTGAGAATAATTAATCCTTTAAATGTCTATACTCTCAGGTGTCTACCGATGTCATACTCAGCGCCGGTGTGGGTCTTGAGTTTACCAGCGCATTTTCCACATTTATCATACTTCAATGGCTCCTAGCTTCAGGAACATAGAAAGCTCTAATTAACCACAAAGTTAAAGCATATGGGGAGGTAAAATTAAGAGACAGGCATGAAACAGCATATAAAGTATAAAATGTGCACGTGGATTGAGGCCGAGGTAGCTGACAAAGAAGCGGAGCCCGATTCCCAGATCTTCCATTCCTTCCCGAGTGCCAAGGTTGAAGCTGCAGAACCCTGGTCTCTGGATCTTCACTTGACCCTCCGATCCCACGGGCCCCCAGCGACCTGAAATGACTATTTATCCACCATTTTTATCTTGATCGTGGAACTGCCTAACATGGAAAATAACTCAACCCGCAAAAAGGTCGCCGTAGTTGGCACGGGAATGGCTGGGCTCGTGATCGCCTATATCCTCAAAAATGATCCCTGTCAGAGATTTGAGGTGGAGGTGTTCGAGAAGGTGAAACCCCCTTTGTGTGAGCGCAGCGCCTAGCGCGAACACTAGCTAACTTCAACGCATCAACAGCAAGACAAACTTTCCCTCGACTCAGCTTCACACACAATCTTACCCCAAGGTGGCGAAGGCGATAAGCAGGAACGTCTCGATCTTCCCATGCGCGCGCTCGCCGACGGTTACTACGAAAATTTAAAACGAATGTATGATTATTTCGGTATCACATACGGTTCGCGCCGGTTTGTTTACTCCCTATCAACTTTATCGGATAGCTCGCACGAACAAGTCTCCCCGTACTACGTCCATTCCTCGAACAACCACCAAATACCTCCCCTGCGTCCGGAGGGCCTATCATGGGCTCGGTGGCTAATTGAGACATGCTATTTGGCTCTATGCTATTACTGGTTCACTGCTTGCTGTTTCTTCGTCGCACCTAGGACGGTCGAGTCGTCTGGTGCGGAGGAATCTCTGCGTCAGTATGTGGGGAGGATATGCTTGCCATGGTATTATGTGAAGCACTACTTGCTGCCGATGATGTCAAGCGTTACAACCTGCTCACACGATGCGTTATTGGATTTCCCTGCTATTGATGTGGTCGATTACGAGAGGAAGACGTTCCGCAAACCACACTATACCGTCCTCGGGGGAGTCCAGCGCGTGGAGAAAGAGCTTTCTAAGGGACTGAAGAATTGGCTTGCTACAAAAGTCACGTCTGTCGAGAATGTAGGGACAGAAGTGAAAGTCACCTGGGCGAACACTCTCGATGGCCAGAACCATTCAAAGCTATTTGACCATGTGATTCTTGCTGTGACACCTGATGTCATCGGTGCGATCTTCGAGCCTCTCCGGAGTGCGGTGGCAGCTGTACCTACAACTACCGTTCAGATTGTTATCCACCGCGACTTTTCCAAGATCATCGATTGCAGCAAGTCTCTCTGGAGGCAGATTGCCTCCAATCGATCAGACTTGGCCCCTCAACCATTCCATATCTGTTCGAATGCTGAAGCAACCGAGTCAACCCACGAACACCCGTCAGCCTACCTTATTACCAACCACCCCATTGCCCCAATCGACCCTGAGAAGGTTGTACACACTGCCACCCTCACCCGAGTTCTGCGATCACCCACCAGCAGACAGATTGTTAACAGCATCTTCGGGAAGAAAGTCTCGGGCCAAGAAAAGAGCCAGCTTTGGCAAAACGGCGATGGAAATGTTTGGCTGGTTGGCAGCTGGTGCTGGGATGGTATGGTCCTCCTCGAGGGCTGTGTTGGCTCCGCAATGAGGGTGGCGAATGGCCTTGGCGTTCAAGTGCCCTGGATGCAATAGTTCTCTTGAGAACAAATTATACTTTTACGAGATTTAATGTCTATATATTTCGGGTGCACATAATTAATGATATGCATTGTGTTTATAATGAGAACAAATACACTCCACAATGATTCGATTCTCAATCCCATAGATCAAATGCTATGGAATTATCTCACGGCATGCTCAGCTTACCTCAAGCTGCTCTTCTCCACTACTTTTCGTTCCCCTTGTCAAATGCCACACCTTCATACCTAGAATCCCAGGCAGACGAGGTGGCTAAGTATGAGACTGCATGGCAACGGGCACTATATGATCAAGTCAGAAAGTTGGAGTTGTATAGTCTTATGGACTACTTACGCAAACCGGATCACCGAGATGATTAGATATCGGTGGACAGGTATTAAGCGGCCCACAGCAGCCCGGCACAGGGCCGCTGGTAATACAGTTGAATCCGGCGGGACACTTGAATTCAACAATCAGTCTGTGCCTGCTCTATGAACGCCGGGGGATAAGAACTCACGCATATATTCGACTGAGCGCAGTACGGTTGACTCGGAGGGCAACTGGTACAACTACCCGCGACACAACTTCCACCTCCAGGAGCTGAGCTGCACTAAAAGAGAAAGTCAAGTCAGTATCATCATACGACGAAACGCAGGATAGAACATCAGAACAGTGGGAGGACACAGCTTACACTCTTGGAACACGATCCACAATGATTGGGATCAGATTGTAGATCAGTACACTTGCCACCACAGCAAGCAGACAACAACCCAGTACACGGAGCAGCATCACAAGAACCACAATGCTGCCTACTAATATCCAAATCTGTGCAGTGCCCATCACAGCAGCCAGGTGTGGTACCCCCACAAGGACGAGCCAAACAAGAACCGCAATGCGCTATATCGGTGCTGAGATCTGTGCAGGTTCCTCCGCAGCAGGCGGGTTGCGTTCCATTGCACTAGGGCTCATTGTCAGCAAGCCAGACCCATCGAGTGTTAAATCCACTTACTCGATTGTTGCATGATCCGCAGTTAATAGTCGACACCGCCAAATCAGTACATGTCCCCGAGCAGCAAACCGGTTGTTGGCCAACACATCGCGGACTATTACAGCCCCCACAGTTGGTAGGGTCACTCATAAGATCCGAGCAAGCCCCGGCACAGCAAGCTGTGCTTTGGCCAGTGCACTGTGAGGTTGAATAGATATACTTCAGCAACCTGATCCAAAACTTGGGTGGACTGGACTAGTTGACTTACCATCCTGTTGCATGCACCGCAGCTGGAAGGATCGACATTGAGATCCGTACACTTCCCAGCACAGCAGGCAGGCTGAATTCCGGTGCACTGATTAGGCATTTTGTCAGTGAACGGCCCAGAATCTGAAAAATAAGCATGCAAAGAGAGTTAAAGCTTGTGGGTGGGGCCGAGCAGGATCCACAAGCATTGACATCCGAGCCCAGAGCTGCACAGACTCCGTTACAGCAAGCTGGTGCTGAGCCAATGAGACACTGATGCAGCCAGATAACATTTGAGAGTTCGATCGGATTTTTATAAGATGATGAATACTCACAGCGGCACCGCATGATCCACAGTTACCTGTGCTTGAAGTTGTGTCTGTGCACAGGAAGAAGCAACATGCTAATCCAGTTGCGCACTATGTGAGGAGTATGAGCAAGTTGGTCTCCCTCAATCCTGGTAAATCGGTTTCTCCAGCTTACCCGAAATATCCAAGGAACACAGATTGTGGCACTGTGCTGTGGGTTAGGGACTTCAATAGAAGTGATATTGGTTGCATTCATGGGGTTAGCATTAGCAGGATTATGGGAAGTGATTAGCGTCCCTAGTAGGAAATCAGATAACAACTTTTGTACAACGGATATCAGTACGAGTTCTGACCTAAGAGCAGGAGGGCGAATGATGGAGGGAAGGTTGGAAACATCGTTACAGATGGCGACATCCAGCGATGAGAGCTCTCCTGAAGACTAATCAAGATAGCGAGATTTGGGACCTCAGTAGATAGGATAATGGAAAGGATGTATTCCATGAAAGCAATAGGCCTTATATCGCGCAATGGACATGAAATCATGCATCATACCGAGCTTGAAGTGGTGTGTGGGGAGCAAAGACTGTAAATCTGGGCCGCATTTCCTGCGGGTGTGTTACCCATTTTAACATTGAGGTTCATAAGAGCCGGATATACCTCGCACCTTCGCTAGCCCAATGGGCTTTTTCCTCACGGTAACAGGGCGATGTGTAGCAGCGCCCAGGATCGAACAGGGCAGTATTGACCCTACATATGTTCTCCAAGAACCTACGACATACATATCACATTGAATTTCGCTTTCAAGGAGGTGCATTTGGCAATAGTCGGATCCTGGTATCTGTAAGTACTTTGTTCTACATTATATCACGGCAAATGCGACAGTAGCAGCTCTCAACTAACAATGTGTAACCCTATTTAAAGACCGAAGCCCCAGTTCTGAGACCGTTGTGCTACCTGCCAAGACCAGTTTGAGACTAAAGTTCGTGTTAGACTTTATAAGAGACAGGGATTGACAATTTTCAGCAGATGGAACTTTGGATTTTAGGTCAAGCAAACTGCGGCTCCATGTGTATCAAGTCCGTCTACTCTTAACGTAGGGATCCCAACCCACAAGCAGCGCAACAGAGGGAAGGAAGTCGACCAGAAAAGTATGGGTGTATGGGTCGATACTTAAATTGCGTAACACTATCTTGTTCGAGATAGGCACTGGCCTACATAAAAGCAGCAGAGAGAAATTGAGCCAAACTCCAATCCAGTTTTGACAAGCCCCCACGCTAAGGAAAGCATTCCTTTGCCCAAACACACGCTTGAGGGAGCAGGTTCCACTTTCAATTATTGCTAGTGGAAATAGAGGAATAGCAGAAGGGCTCCGAAAATAGTTGGATACTTTTGTTGACTGATAAAGTCTTTTCCAGCAGCCCTTCCAATCTCGGTAGTGACACAGGCAGGACGTAGTTGGTTGAAAGCTTGCTCTTAAGCCCATGTCACGGTAGTTAGTCCATACGCGATAAAGTCGAGTTTTGCTTCCTCTTCAGGGAAACGAGGGATTACAGCCAAGGCCTTCTTATTAAAATCCGGGAAATGACTGGGCTGATAATATCGCGCTTCCAAAGTCAGGAGGATAAGCACCAGAATATCCCTAGCCAACCAGCCACACTTCTCCGTGCGGGCCAAGGACCAGGTTTCGAGGGCTGATGTCGAGATGTTTCAAAACAAACTTGGTCAAAGGTAATGGTGGATTATCTTTTGGGGCTTTGTTAACACCCTTGCAGATATCATGCTTGTGGTTAAACCAAGCTTCATTCCAGCTCCGTCTTGATAAGGCCCGCCGCTGTAACCTGTAAAGATTAGGCCTCGAGGAAATCATACGCAGTGGAGCATGGCATATATCTGTGCTGTTGAATTTCTATGGTAGAGCTTGTTTGACACAGGGGCGGGGCGTTGCGGTATTGAGTGAGTCTATAATTTCTATACGCTAATCAATTTGAGTTGAAATCATCACCCGTGGGAGAATGGAAGGTAGATCTGCTCTAACCTCCAATTCCTAGCAAGCAATGCCCCCAACAAACTATGCTGACAGCCAAAATTTCTTGCTCCACAATGCCATCCAAATTCGCTCCATAAAGAAGCCCACCTCGGGGTTAACAGCTCCCTTCCCGGCCGTGACAAATTGATCCAAACACTCCCTGTAGAGATCCTTCGGGTGCTGCAAAATAGCCTCTCGCCTCACCGCAAAGATCGCACCATGCAGAACTCTAACCGCAGCAGGGTGATCCACACCGAACATCGTTTCCCAGAAAGTCGCCATATCATACGGCGCATAGGTCAGTGACTTGAGCTGATTTGGTGTAATCCAATACGACTCATCCGGAGAAGACCAGTTGATTTTCTTCCATTCAGCGAGATCGTGAAGAAGATCGTGGTTGTAAATTGTCACTGGATCATACTCGGACTCTGGGGTCTGCAGAGCCTTTTCCACGAGCTCTTGTGTTGAATTTGTTTCCGGCCCGATCATGTCAAAAGGTGCTGCTTGGGAAAAGATGACAATTGGTTCCAATGCGTCGTAGTGGGAGTAGATATGGTGGCAGTAGGTTTGCCCCTCGCGGCCAGCGTTGGGAAGTTGCTCGTAAAGGCGGAACGAGTCATGTGAGACGTTGTCGCTGGACTGTGTTATATTGGATTTGGCATACAGATATGTGTTTGATGCCACCTCAGCCCACGGATTGAGGGGCTCATTATACCGAGCGACCACGATGCCAAGGAAGTTAGGCGATGGAAGCCATGCTGGTCTGGATGCCAAGCTGAGACTAGGCATTTTCAAATTTGAATTGGACAGAAATTTTTTGAAAAGTGGTAAAGACGATTTGAAGATAAATGAACTTGGCTATCCAGAAATTGAAATACCAGCAACTATATATGAAAGCTCCCAACTGCTCTCATCTTGTGTGGTATTGGGCATGATTGTGGATAGATCAGCGCCAGCCAGCCAGCCAGCCACCACATTACCGCATTCCCAAATTTGGATATATTGGTTGCACTGCAGTAAGCCCCTTGCTGAGACCACGACCAATGGATTCAGGAAATGCTCTCAAAGGAAGGCATACGGATAAGGGCGCCTTGCAGACAACAAGAGGCCTCGTAAAAAGCAGCGCACTTGGTCGTTCCCCATCAGTGGACGGATCCAGATCACTACCCAGCAGCTTTGCAGACTGCTCTATGGACATATTCTACTAACTTGTTGGAGGCTTTCAGCTCGTAAACACCCCGCCTTCGCTCTTTTTCTGTATTTTGGTTTTGGGTCTCTTTCCATGATCAGCAAGTATGATTATGCTTTTTCTTCACCTATTGTGACTCCGAATGCACATACTAACATCACCACTTGTTTGACTCCACAAAAGTACTACATGAGAACCCCGAGCGCTGTTTCTTTGGGAATTAAAGAATAATCAATTCTTGCCATTGGGCCATCGATGGTACAGCGAATATACCTATTCGCTCAGCAGTATTATGAATGTTTAGACTGCACAAAGCAACCTCATAATGGGCTATTCCATACTTTCCTTGAGGATGGTCTCTGTACCTAGATTGATACGATGGCAGATATTGAGACAGTGTTAACCCTGTCGCATCGGAGAGGAGGTTTTGGCAGGGATATAGGGCTGAACATGGCACTGATGGGCAGTACGTACTACTACTACATTTTAGTTGGTTGGGTACGCTGCTAGTTTCATATAACAGGGTCGAGCAGCTCCATGGCTCGCCCTCAAACGTCCAGCAGACATCGACTTGATTCTCAGCTGTGTTTGAGACCAGACGAGGCTGAAGATGAATCTCACTGCCTCTTTTAACCTCTATGCAGAATTAATCAGCATCCGCAAAGATCACCGAGCGACACTTGAATGCAGATCGAGCACCACGGAGAAAACAGCAAGATTTGGTAACATAGTGACTGCGCATAACCTACTCACTGAAGAGGAATGAACAATACATAGATGGGGATACCAACGTGAATCCACACGTCATTGCGTAAGGTGAAGTTGGATGGCTCTACTTGATCCAGCTAAATTCGGAAATGGCTAAATGCGGGGTGTTGATGAGGTGCTTGCGTATTTTACACGACAAGGATGTCGGCTAATCTCCGGCTTATGGGTGGGGCTGATATCGCTATACGAGAGATACAGAATCTCCCAGTTTCATTAACGCCATCACCGAACTAACACACTCTCTCACAGAGAGGCAAAGGTATAAAGAGCGTCTGGATCTTATTTATCGCCTACCACCACTCTCGCAACGTCGTTGCACAGAAACGTACTATCAAGACCATGGCTGTCCTACCCGCTCAGTCGGCATTGTTGGAAAGGTTTGCGACTATTAAGACAACTCGCTGTTAAAGCCTATGTACTTATATCTTGAAGACTCCCACAGCAAAAAACGAACGACTGGCGTGACGCATTCCATGCAAACGGCTACGTCGTGATCAAGAGCGCGATTCCACAAGACCGCGCAAGAGCGTATCAACAAGAAGCCTTCAAATGGCTTAAATCCTTCGGCACGGAGCTCGACATCGAAAGTCCCGATACGTGGACGAAGCAGAACCTGCCAATCCAATCTAAGATAAACACATTTCATAATTATGCAGTGATGCATGAGAAATTCGTCTGGGAAGCCCGACAAGAGCCGGGGGTTCTTGAGGCATTCTCCAAGCTTTGGGGAACCAATGAACTATTGGTCAGCTTTGACAGTTTGAATGTCACATTCCCCAATCGCAAGGATGTGCCGCGGAAGGCTGCCTGGCAGCATGTTGACCAGAGCCCCTTCCGCAACGGCTTGCACTGTGTCCAGGGCATCATCAATCTGTCTCATGCCGGATCGGAAGATGGAGGCTTGATGGTATATCCTGGATCTCACAAATTGTTTGAAAGGTTCTTCGAAACTCAAACTGAGAAATCCACTTGGAGTAAGAAAGATCTATACTTGTTCAGCGACGCACAGCTGGAATGGTACGGGATTCAGCCTCACAAGGTCTGCGCGGAGCCCGGTGATCTCATCTTGTGGGATAGCCGCCTTATTCACTATGGAGCTGAGCCAACGGAGAAGAGTGATGTGATTCGCACCGTTATCTATGCTTCTTATACACCGGCTAGTCTTGCTTCTAAGGAGGCTCTAGAGACTAAGGCTGAGATTTTCAAGCAGTGGGGTGGAACTACTCATTGGCCGCATGACAATATTGTTCCTAGAGAGAAAAGGGCATTTAGAGAAGATGGCACTCCCGATCCTAAAAATCGCGAGGAGCCGTTGAACAAGCCTGAGATAACTGACCAATTGCTGAAACTGGCGGGGGTGCTGGCATATTAATTTTTTCAAATATATTATTCTCTTCACAGAATGATGGATATTGTCATATTAAACCACCGCAGTTACTATTTTCCAGCATTGGATTAAAGTAGTCAGTCCTCTTTGGTTACTTTCCTCGCTTTAAAATTCAATGGTGAATTCAGTGTCACCCTAGCCACGCGTACTCTCGTTCAGATTATACTATCCATGAAAGCCAAGGTAAATTCGAAGAGTAAAAAAAACATGTTCATCAATCAAATGAAAAAGAAGTATGAAGAGCAAAAAAACAAATCGTGGTTCCAGAGGGGGTCGAACCCTCGACTTTGGCGTTATTAGCACCACACTCTAACCAACTGAGTTATGGAACCCGGCTATGAAATGACGTCATGGTATATGGCATCAAGTAGTCACTTCTAGATATCAGCAAGGCTAAGCTGGTAACGCCGTCCAGGCAAACATCAAAGGGTCCAATTTTTGCCGCTCATGATCCGGCTCGAAAGTATTTCGCACGGTACCCACTCCCTTATTGCATGGTTCGACGGACAGGAAAACACGAGTCTGACGCGTATGATCTCTTTGGTCCAAAAGTTTACACGCTAAGCGCAGTGACTTGATGCCGCGATTGGCCAGGTGGGTGCAGAAGTATCTGAGAAGCTCGACGGGGAGACTGGAAATGTGGTCGATGTCGTTCATTCCAGTTCATTCCAGAAGGGCTTGTGGGGTGGTAGAGGCTTGTGGGGTGGTAGAGAGGCATTAGAGGCCTTATCAAACAGCCCCAGCTCCCTCGGGCGATCAGCAGCCCCACTCTAACCCGTTGCCGTTAGAACGTGGTCTGAGGTCCCTCTAGATCATCTGTGAGATCTTAGGGCTCGGGTGTTGGCTTGATATAACTAAAACAGTTATTGATATGGATTGAAACAAGATTAGAGTCGCTAAAAAAATCACTTTTAACATTATAATTACGTCTCCCTAGTGGGAATGCAAGTATGTACATGTGCAAAAGATATGTTCAACGCTGAACAGTTTCTTCAGCGATAGCGTCGCTCTCATCCTCAGCGGCATGTGATTCCTGCACAGCCTCATAAAACGGCGCGAACTTGCTCTTCATTCTCAGCCTCTTGCCGAAGAAGTAGAAGCCGACGGGGATAGGAACGAGAACGGCTGCAACACATCCAAGGAGGGTAGATGCGTACTGGATGCCCATGCCTTCAAACATTTGGCGAGAGAAGAGCGGGAAAGCGGCTGCTACCATGGAACGGCAGAAGGTGTTTGCTGCGATGGCAGATGCGGCACTTTTTATAAGTTAGATGCAACTTCGAAATCAACCTGGCACGGACGGAAGGAGTAACTTACAACATGAGATATGTATCAATCAGATAATTGAACAATTGAATGAAAATGATCAAGAGACCAAATCCAGTGAACAGACCACTCAAAGTAGGAACGATCCAGTGGATAGTACCACTGAAACCGGTCCAGCCGAACCAGAAAAGTCCAGCAGCGAAGAGAGCTCCGCCGATAATTACAGGCGGAAGACGCCATTCGGGGATCGGGACACCCCCGTTCGCGTCAAGTCTCCTATTGTACCCTCTGCTGGCCCAAATAACGTAGGAGGCAGCGATGAACAAGCCTACCACCATTCCGAATAGGGGCAGACCTGCAACACCAGGGTTCATACCGTACACACCCTGGAAAACGAGGGTGTAGGCTGTCAAGAAACAGTAGAGCAGGCCATAAATGAAACTGAGGTAGATGGTAACGGCAAGAATCAATGGCTCGTTGAATAGCAGTCGAAGCGGGCGGGAGAAGTTGTTCACAATCAGCTCTCGAAGGTCAACTTCGATTTCTTCTTGTTTTGCGTGAATTCCCCAATTCTTGGTTCGGCGACGCAATTCTGAAGCCTTCTCCACGAGAACAACAGGTGGGTATGATTCCTCCAAGAAAAAGAGGTTCATAACGAAGGCGGCGTACCCCATGAACGCGGGGATATAGGCGGTCCACCGCCAGCCGAGGTAGGACATATTGATAAATCCTCCAATGAAGTTCGCGACCAGCGGCCCGAGGAAGACAGTACTGGAGAACATAGCAATAGCAACACCACGCTGACGGTTATTCCAGATATCCGAGAAAACGGCGGCGACAACGGCCAAAGGACTACTACCAAAGATGCCGGCGAAGAAGCGACAGATCATGATGGTTTGAACATCCTTTGCGACTGCAACTGCGGTGTTGAAGATGCCAAAGCCAAGCATACCGATAATGATAGGAAGGCGACGGCCTTTGAGCTCGGATAGAGGAGCCCAAATCAACGGCCCCGAGGCATAGCCCACGATATATAGGGAGCTCGAGAGAGTGGCAACTACGATGCCGACATCAAATTGTTTGGAGACGCTTTTGGTAGAAGAGCTGAAAATAGCGGAGTCAAATGTAGAGCAGATACTGGTGAAGGCGAGCATAGCACTGATGTAGGACCTAAGGGAAACGAACTGTCAGCGCCATCCATATGCAATAACATATGCGCATGAAATATGCTTGAATGATTGACTTACTTTCTCTTCACTGGCCAGTTCAAGGGATATAAAGGGTCATCGGGCCCATCGAATTCCACCACGTACTCTTCACGCGCGGGAAGAGGTGGCGGGTACGGCTTACCCGCACCAAAAGCAGGGAGTGGAGTCGTTGACTGTCGCGATTTAAGACTCTCACCAACAGTGAGCGCATGCTGAGTGCGCTGAGTCTCAGTCCTGCTCAGTGCGCGCGAAACTCCAGTCCGGTGGCGTTCCAAGTCGAGCTCTGTATTGCGCGACTGCAGCCTGTGCACCTGCGGGTCATATTCGAAAGAGCTGCTCGAGCTCGTGGAGGTCGAGCCTGATGTTGTAGGCCTCTCTAACTCTGCCGATGATCGCTTCTCGATCGAGTGAGGCAATTGATCGGCCATACTGCCCGTTGTGACCGCTTTGCCGATCCAGTGGCACGTTGTGGTCTTGCCGATCTTCTGTAGGTGTTGCTTGACGTCTGTACGGAGTAGTCTGCACAGTGAGCAGGAACGAGGTACCAGGTGCTTTTAGTGAAAATACTTTTTCCACAGAGCGCGGACCAATCTATTTATTAAAAGGCCGAAAGCAACAGTTCCGAATACCCGTTTTGGACCCACTTATAACCGGCTTCAATACTGGATGCCGACTGCCGATTATTTGAAAGCAACGTGGCTTAGCAATGTCTTGAATTGCAGTCTCTGATGGTCCAAGCGAAGCTAGTCTGTTAGACTCGATTCTATTGGCTATATTGCACGTTTTGCAAGCCCATGCTCGCATAGTGGCAAATTGATAAGGTTTTTTTTTTTCGCCCTCAGGCAACAAAAGCTTGGCATAAGCTCGAAAGATGGTTACGTCACCATGACTCAGCGCCCCCAGGTCCGGCCCGGGGAGGAGGAGCCACTGGTTGACATGTGCTTGTCTGCGGAGTTTAGCATAAAATGAACATCTGTTGATATCATGTCGGAACCTTGAGCCGGAATATTGACGGAATCTTGGTCTAAGCAGAATTCTTCCATGGCCCACTTAGACTACCTGATGTATCAAATAGTGCCCAAATAATAGGCAGCCATTGAAAGTGGACCAACAGGTTTTGTAAGGAGAGACTTCGAAGTTGCGTGGAATGGATACACATGAGAGGATCCAAGAAAAGCGCTAGGACTGCTTGCTGAGTAGGGTAGCCTGTTACTTGATTGAGCTGTGATTGCCTGTATATATATACAAGGCTGTAGAGTGGGAGGTAGAAATGTATAGCCTCTAGTGCGAGAGCGTTGGCACCCAATTGTGGGGAACTGCCTCAAGAAACCTACTCATGTTTCTGAAACGGCCATCCTTGCTCCAAGAACTGAAGAGGACAACCAACATTTCGGTCTCTTTCAGGAACATTATGCCAAACACCGCGTAAAGTCATCATAAGATATGCTCACCATTCGCATCAAGACTAAGTCGCAAGCTGTTGGCGTAAGAAGACGGGGGGAACCCGTAGAGCTTCTAGATGTAGTTTGTTTATGCCACTGTTTCCGACATGCTGTCGATAAGAAATGTATTATTGCCGAGAGTAGGAATTAGCCACCGCTCGCTCTTCGACGCTCATGTCGGCATAACCATGTGGTTTCTCTCCTGGCTCTATGCCATTGAAGCTAGCTGGCGGTGAATAGTCAAATGTATTTAAATGTCCAGCAACAGGAGTCGGTGTTATGCTGACCGGATGTTGCCAGCCGATGATGAATGTGATCTTGAACGTTTCTGGGTCAATGGAAATATTGTTGAGTGCGAAATGTGTGCCTGCAATTAGTTTTAACAAGGCAACAAGTATCTAGAATGGTAAGGTTCAAATACCTGGGCGTCGTAGTGTTGGTCGGTTGATAATACTATGGGGCTTCTGGGGTAGAAGGCAAGAAGCAATTGCTAGATACTTGTCTAGAACTCGTAAATACTCCTGGGACGAGGCAGTACCAGGGGAGACAAGTTTGAAAGAGAAAGACTCAGGCGACTTTCCAAACTTCTCAGTCTATTGTATCTCCTTGCTAACGACTGCGAGAAGATGTTTTTTGCGTGCTCCCCTAAGCAAAAAGAATGTTAGGCAAAGACGTGTAACAGCTAGTTTCAGTTAGCAGCTATACATAGGCCCGTATCTAGTCTAGACCAATCCCGTCACTTAAGCCAGAACCTATCATCCGCAATAGGCCCGATGCAATAGACATCGAAGTCAGCTGATCTAGGGCAAATACAGCCTCCATCGTAACTCACAAGGAACACCCTCCTTGAAATAGAGACTGCCGTATCCCGCAATAGAAATAGGGGATTGATAATTCAACACCCCTTTGGATAATGCAACACCTGTCGCGATCCGTACTGTATCCGGCCAATTGGAGATGTAAATGACTCTGTATTTCCATTACCCCTATTTCTCACTATTTATGGGTCCATTCTAGTTACATAAGCTATGCCGACGGATCATCTATAGACCCGGTTTCATGCAGTATTCGTAAGGTAATCGCGACACACCCCTTCAGCGGCCTCAGTATCCCATCCTAAGCCGCTGGCAATGCTATTTACCAGCGAATCTGCTTCAATTTGGGTCATTCCTTCATGATCAGGTGTTCAATTTGGACCATTTTCAACAGCTTGACGAAGCTTACATGCTTCTGCCGAGGAAGCAGCTTCGTCAGGCCGTCTGCGACCATTTTTGCTATCGGAACCCAGCGTACGGCGACGCGTCCTGCCTTCACTTCCTATCTCAGCCATAGGTGATAAATATCGACGTGCCTAAGCTTCGTGTCGAAGCTCGCGTCGTTAGCGGTGATTAGACCAATAGCTCTCTTATTATCGCATTCGATAGTGAGGACGTGCGATGCCTCGAAGCCTACTCGGGCAAGCAGCCTTCTCCACCATTAGAGATGCTTGCCCGCTTCCGATAGACCGAGAAGCTCGGCCTCTGTGGTCGAGGTTATCACCGTCCGCTGCTTCGTGGCCTTCTAGTCTACCGGTCCTCCGTAGACCTAGCAGATATAGCCTACAGAGCTCTTCCTATCTACATGATCTCCGTACGATACGTCGCTTAATAGCTACACCGAGTCTATTTCTACCTCCGCATTGTATTCGATTGCTAGGAATCGGGTGGTGTAGAGGCAGGTAATAGCTCGATCGGCGGCTCGGTAGTGCTAGGGTCTAGGATTCGTGAGGAATTCGGCCAATTTGCTAGTTACCTTTGCTACATCGGCACGGGTGATCGTGGTAGCATATCCTATTGATCCTACCTTTTGCTAATATAGGAGGATCTCTTACGCGCTTACGATGCCTTCGTACGGCTTTAGGTCTTCGATCGGTAGTGGGGTTAAGACGGGAGGTCGATCTATAAGGTTATAGCGCGTTGCCATGCTTGTGATATAGCTGTCTTAGCAAAGCCATAATTTCTTCGCCTACCGGTTCCGAATAATGCGTATATTCAGGAACCATTCAGCATCGCTATAGTCAGTAAGCTCCTAATGCGCTTCGAGATCTGTAACGGAATCCTCAGAAGCCATGCACAGATCTCTCGCACTCCTAGAGGATCGACACTATATAGGTGTCGACACGTCAGTGTTGGCTCACCGTAACGCTGATCCCCTATGTTAAATAATCTGCTCCGGAGAACCTAGCGGTTCTCTAAGAATCAGTCTCTATATTCCTCTAACATATTGTTCGCTTCTAGGCATCTTCGTCTTACCTAGTTAACAGGCTCTATCCTATAAACAATAGAACCCTATTCTTTACACAATAACACTAGCCCTCACTAGGTACGGCGTAGGTATCTGATTAAGAACTGTCGAGCGCATTTCCGGGTCGCTCTAGACTATCCTAAGACTAGATTAAGCCTAGAATGATTAAAATAGGAGAGAAATAGTACTAAGAACTAGTTTATATGACGTTTTCCTTTCTATGTCGCCGGGGCTCTTCGGTAGGACGTACTATAACTAATTTCCTCTTAAGAGGAGTCTCCTATGAGTAGAGACCTCTTTTAAGAGGCCTCTTATTCTCGGCCTTCTAAATGACCCTCACTCTTGAAACGAGCTATCTAAAAATAGTCTGTTGTTAACATCTATACCGTAATAACCAATAAGACGGCAACTATGTGATTATGTAGGTAGTAGAAAGGTCGGAAGTCGAATAATAGATTTTGCCAAGGCAATCTATAGATCTATTTTCTACTTATCTACACCACGAAGGACTTAGGTATATATAGGGACTTATGTATCTAGTTTAGTTCTTCGTGTTCAATTTATCTATTGTTACTTGTGTCTACTGTTCAGAACCTTGATGACTCGTACAACTTGATTATAACTTAACAACACTACGAATAGACATTTACTCTGGTATTGGTTAGTTCGGCGCCCTATCTAGCATCGCTCCTTGATACCCTCAAAAGGACTTAGCCCGTATAAGGCCTGACAGGCAACGGTACGGTTAAGAGACAGATCGTTGACGTTAGAAGCAGAGAAGCATTAGGCAAGTATAACCCTAGTGACTTTTAACATAGCGACGACCCGTTATATAGTCGTGCGTAACAATAATAACTAGAGACTTCCGTGACATTATCGTGCTTTACGCTTAGTGACTTAAACTATTAAACAAGGAAGAAATGGCTATTAACGGTTGCTTTAAGTCGCTGACCGAATAGGTCAAACAAATCATTAAATACAAAGGTTCTAGTCTGGTGGAAGAACCGCCTTGGTCCTAGTTTTATGTAGGTCCTAGTTTTATGTATATTGTTCCGGGGTTTCTTTATCAACAAGCTTTAGATCCTAGTCGTTTACTAGTTTTAGGGCTAGATAGTAGGAGTGCTTGATAGGTCAGCCGTCTTTCATCAGAGACATAGTCAAAACATACTAATTGCGAGCTAAGAAAAGCCCAAAATCCAGAAGCATCCGCTAATAAGATAAATACTTGGCCGGTTTCCCGAAGGCGTATGCACACACAAACATTAGCATCGCACATCTTGCTATATTCGGCCGCCTTTTTCATAAGGCTTGATTTTAGACGGCCTCGTTTTTGCCGCTTAGACTTTCTAACTAATTTAGATCGATTGGGCTAGGTGAGAGAAGCGGAAGCCATATAAAGAGACGCGTCATAGTTAGAAAAGACTGAAGGAAACAGGGCACTAAATAGTCGCAGGTATAGACGGAGCGGCTCTTAGGGATTCTTAAGGCTATAAACAGGTACAAAACGGCCCTCTTCATGTTCATGGATTTCCGCGTTGAAAAGGAGTGCTACGCTCTAGAAACCGTGGTCTTCAGAGTTTATAGTCAACGAATACCTAAAACGGGCCCTAGTAGGTGATGAGTTCACAGCATGCAACGAATTTGCGTTGAAAACCACGACCAGGGACGACCGAGGAATCCGCGCTCCAGAAACTGCGGGTTCCGAATTTATAACCAGCAAACCTCCAAAACGGTCACTCCAACAGGTGATAAACGTAAAGTATGTCTAACAAATTTATTGCAACGCTCATTTTAACGGCTAGCATAAAAGGGAGGGAGCTTGGTTCTTTCAAAGCAATTACTGGTGTCCGAGGGACGCATTAAGTCTTGGTCTGATTTTGAGGGCCAACAGTAAACAATGAATGGTCTGCTTTGGAGAATTCGGTCAACTGCACAGCGTAGCTGGCCTGAGGTTTTGGCCTTTAGAGCCTTTTTTGTTTTATTTCAAAATAATACTGTAAGCAAGGTACTAGGGAATATGGCAACAAAGTGGGCATTCCAAGAGGACATCTTACTTGGGTAGCAGGGTGAAAGAAATTCTTGCGGTAGACTTGGGGGGCGTCTGGGTATTAGGAAACTGGCGTGATCTAGTTCGGAGACTGTTGTCTGACCAATAATATTCAATAAACACCCTACTTCTTTCACTGTGTTTAACAAGGAAACGAGTGAATGATTCCGTTTATTTATTATTTTCGACCAGCTATACTCAGATTTCTGAGACAACCAATTAGTTGGTTTAATCACCAGCTGCGACTTTGCTTACCCGTCGACCCTCATGTTTTCTTCATTCATCGGCTAGTCGATAATGTTTCGTTTATTCTACTAATGTGTCGTGGAAAGCATCGTACTAGCTATTAAATTGAATTGAATTTCCGAGGTTTCTGCCAGGCAGTATTAGAAAAGTGGGTCCACGGCCGAAGTATCGGAGGTCAAATACTTGTGTTACACCACTGTATCAAGAGAAATGCGATCCAAGTAATGGCAGTCAAATATAGGGTATTGTCACGAAATACATACATACGGCGTACCGTATGTTACACTATAAAAGTGGACCGCTGACCTCATCGGCATAGATCAAGCCCTGAGATGTTTCCTCTTTCTTCTGTATTCATTCACCATGTCGATGCTCAAATTACCCCCCGAACTTCTCATACGAATCGGGACACATTTAGAATGTTCCGATCTGAATCATCTTCTAGAATGTCATTCCTATCTATTCAAGATCCTCAACAAACCCCTCTATCAACGCAATGTGCAGGAACACGATGCCTCGGCACTGCTATGGGCAGCATCTAAGGGGTCGGAATCGACTCTGCAATATCTCATTGAGGCCGGAGCAAATGTTCAATATGAATCTCAGTATTTTGCCTGCTCCATACAAAGTGAGGGATCACGCATCCGATGGCCGATTCAAATTGAGGACATGAAAGAGCATCCAATATCATACGCGGCAGCCCAGGGACATATAAAAATCGTGGAGTATCTCCTCGATTTAGGAGCTGATCTTAATTATCGCGACCGGTATGGGTTAACGCCCCTTGCCCTCGCAGCTCGCGAGGGTCACCTGACTCTGACTCAGAAACTCATTTCTCTGGGCGCAAAGCAACTATCACACGATACCGAGGGAAGATACCCGCTTTCACAAGCAGCATCAAAGGGTCACCATGAGATCGAAGACTATCTCTTCGACCAGCTTCGCCAATACGCTTATAGCAAACCAGATCCCGCACTGGACCTCTACTGGATGTTGAAATACGCCGCGGAACAGGGCGATGACGCCCGCATACGATACCTCTTGTCCCGGGGAGCGGATGTTAATTTCCAACTACCCGAAGAGAGTCATCCACCGCTATGTGGTGCACTCCGGGATGCTCCACGGCCATTCGGTACCGCCAAGCTTTTGTTAGATCATGGAGCAGATCCAAACGGAGAAGCTTCACGATCGAAATCCTACTCACCTGGAAGAAGGGAACGGTCCGTTACAACAGTCTTTTGCGCTCTATTGAGAGACGAGAGCTATTCTCTGATTGAGCTCCTTTTTCAATACCGGGCGATAGCAATAAGGCACGGCCAGACCTTGCTGATAGCAATCAACCTAGAAAAGCCTCGCGAATTTGAATATTTAGTGGAGCGCGGAGCCAGCCTAGATGCAGGATATCGCAGGACAACTGTCGCTAAAAGTGCAATGAGTTCTGGATGTCAACCTATTATTGATATTTGCTTGAAGTATGGAGTTTCTCGAGATACCAAATGATCGTGAATCGACTGATATGGACTTTCTACATCGAGAGTTTGTGAAATTCCGATTTGTTAGGTAAATAATAGATTCATCGTGTTGTTTGTAGGAAAAGGCAAATTCATTTCCAGTATCCAGGGAGGTAGAGTAGCGAATTTAGAAGAAAGGAAGGTTAGACCACGCAAAGCTCTGCTTCTTTCTGCTTCTTCCCATGTCTCATAAAAACTCAAACTAAGATCTAGTATGATTCTAGCTGTGTCGACTATATCCCATGATATGGATTTCTCATCGACAGAGTGCAAGTTCTGTGTTGACATGCTTTAGTTCACATTCTTGGGGTCTCTGCAAGTACCGTCTCCCCAGTTTGCCTTTTCACTAAGGTAGAGACCTGTAATAGACAAAATTAATACCGAGGAAGCTGCTTGTCATAACGGTGGTACATACCAGAAACCATGTACATCAAAGTGTCTGAATAGCCTAGTTAGTTCTGACAAAAAGTCTTGTAATCAACAGGTACACGCTTACCTGCGTTCTTGAGTGGACGAATTTTCGATATGGTTGTCTCGTCTTTGTCCTCCTTGGCAAGCTTGTTGATTGCGACCAATTCATAGGCAGATTCACCATTGTTCAAGTCTTCGTCGTCTTTGCGTCAAATTGACAGTCAGCGCAAATGTCCATGAGAAAGCAGCAGCAACAAGGAAGGAATTCACTTACCAAGGCTACCTTTGGCACTAAAGTATGATTCTGTATGACTTAGTTCGTGCAAAAACAGACTCTCGGGAGTAGCGTCCAAGACATCGTCAATGGACTTGGTAAGGAGTGATTTCAGAGTCTCCTGTTTCATCGAAATGAGAGTTTTGCCTGTCCAAGCCTTCCAGGCTCTGGGACACACAGTCATGAAGTCTTTGACGTTACCTCGACTCGTGGTCATAAAAGCAAGGGTATTCTCATCGCCGTTGGCTTCTTTGCAAATATCCGTGTTCTTGTTGTCGGTCATTATAGCCAGTGGTTCACCAGTCAAATTGAACCAATCTGTTGTTACCCGATGAAATGGATTAGCATCGAGTCAAAGCAGGATAAAATGGCAGTCCAAAGAATCTTACAATCTCCTGCTTTATCCTTAGTACCATCAGTCACCCATTGTGTATGATCGCAATACACGTCCAGCTTGAACGCATTCCCGGACAGGCCTTGATTGTATTTGGTCACGAAACCTGTGCTCACAGATTAGCTCTTGGCCAAATATCTTTGATTAGTGTCAACCAGACATACTTGACAGTGACTTCAACTTGGTCTTAGCATTTTTGACCGCGGTTTTATCAGTAGGTTTGAATTCTCCGTAAAGTGATTGATAAAGGTCAACGTATGATTTTTCAGTAGGAAGCATTTTCTTGCGATCTTTGCTCATTGCCTTTTCGATTGTAGAAATTGATGTTTTGGCACTGCCAGTCTATTCATTAGGCACACACAACTAGTTAATAATCTCTGCAACTCAATTTTGGCAAGAAAACGATAGAAGCGATAGTTCAGCCTCACGAAGCACTCACAACAGTAACCATATTATTCAATACGTCCTCAAAGAAGCTCTCCTTTCCCGCACACGAGCTGTGCACCAGTAAACTTTCCAGGGGATGTCCATGTGGCCGCAGTCGGATTGCGCTTTTCCACACCAACCGAGGCAACACTATGATTGAACTCAACCGGGAAGCCTTGAACTACGCTCAAGACATCTGCAAAGAAAAAAAGGTGACTGACTATGGCAAGCCAGGCCTTGCCAAAGGGACCAAAGATCATGATTATGATCAAAAGAGCGTGTAGTCCAACAAAGTAGATCAAAAGATTGTATTCAAAAAGAGTGAAAATGTGCTGGAAAGACATAATAGAAATTGCGTATCTCCCATTTCTAAATAAAAAGCTCCTCGATCTTTTTCTTCAAGTTTCTTCAAGTGATGGGCTCTTCAATGACCCCTACGCGAGGCCTAGGTTCATTTCCAACAATACCGCCCCGTGTATTTGGCCCCCTACGGCGTAAAAGACTGTGAATTGACCTTGATGTGCAATCTCTGTATTACAAATAAATCCCTCATGCTCCATAGAAATCAAGTATCTTGCAATCTCTGACACGGAGCTCATGAAGTCGCATTATTGGCCAGATAGCGCTACCTGAATGGGTCCGTGTTTCAAAGGCTCGTTGCGCGAACTTCCTCTGTCTATGTTGCACTAAAGTACGTATAGATGGTTGCATTAATGGAAAATGTCAGGGAACCAATTAAAATTTCCAGCAAAGGGTCAGTTCACGCGGATGGCCCCAACACTGGGGCTTCTCCCCTTGCACAGATATCAACTGGGATCTCTCATTCGTCAGGCTTTTGACCCCCAAATGGGGCCCAGTATAATTGTTTGAGCTAAGATTTCAAATGCAACATGCTTGTCTGCGCCCCACTATATTTTAGCCCCATTGACGATCATCAGTTTGCAAGACGTGGAATGACAATTTCCAAGTTCGGACAATGGCAGTGGGCGAAACATGAAACAGTAATTACCGTAATTTTCGGAAAACGTACGTTACCTGACTGATGTACCATGTCCATCAAAATCAGAACAGTCGTTTCCTCGATATCCCAGGATGGGGAATCCAGTGGTCAAACAAATCCACCTGTCCGCTCAATGTCTGCTGCAGCGACTATGGATTTTTGGGGTAATTATCAGACGAGCCCATGAAGGTTTTTCATGTTGACATAGCTTCAGGAACTGCCACGGAGTTCTGTGGTTCAAAGGTAGTATCTTCACCTTCTTGCGGCGGTACTTCATCGGATGCCCGTACATCGGCTACTATGAGGGATGGAATCTCGAACACAAATGCGACAGTATGTAAGTAATCCTCTGTTGAAACAGACGAAAGGTACTGATTACAATTCAAAGACATGAAACCCGACCACATCCCTCTCGGATACTATACCCATATCAACTTTGCATTTGGCTACATCGATCCGGACTCATATCAAATGGCACCTATAGCTTCTGACGTTGTGGCGCTCTATAAGAGAAAGACCGAGATATAGACGGTGTCACCAGAACAGACGACCCTTTCTCAACTCTCCTTCTTTCAGGAAAAGCCTTCATGTTATTCTGTGCACATGGTGCCTGACCAAAAAAAGGCCGCGTCAAAGTCGTTCGGTATCTCTGGTGCGTCCCAAGAGCCCACATTGAGACTGGATTGAGCAAGGAAGTCCTGCATTAAGGGGTTTCGTAAGGTCATTTCAGTCGTTAGATAAGGACTCAGAGGGTTGGCAACTTCTTCAATAGGAAGCTGCCTGTAGTTCATGGAGGCCCCGGACACGGGTGAAGGACAATGGTGTTCAAGAGGCAGCCGTATTGAGGGATCGGTGATGAAAGGCATATTTTCATCATTTGTTGGAGGAAGTGGGGGGTCAGATACGCGACGACTCAAGCAAAGACGAACTCGCTGAAGGTGCTCGTAGAGATCCTTAGCCGCTAGGCTATTAGATGCGCTCAGGACTCTTAAAATCTCAGTTGCGATATCGACCGATGCAATATCGTTGGGGTCCCCCAAGGGTAGAAGACTTGATATGGTGAGTACTAATGCCGAAGAGAACAGAAAGGCCGGAAAAGCGTAGCCGAATAATAACACTGATCCACTTGTCCATTCTTCGACGCATAGCTTCAAACAATAACGCGCAGCGTGAATGCAAGCTTCGCTCAAAACTCCAATAATTGGAGTAATTTCCTCATTTGCTGGGGAGGAATTATCTTTGGTATGACAAACGAGTAGATTAAGCAAGACAGGTCGAATTGCCAATATCACACACTATGATAGTTCAAGTTAGTAAGAGAAAAAAGCAGCCGACGATTGGAATTCGAGAAACGCACATAACTGAATTGAACGTGCAGAAAGACTGCATACTTCGAATTGGGCCTATCTGCCTGGAGCCTGAGGTTTTCTGGAAGCGTCTGTACCCATTGCTTCAGCTGGATGAGCAATTTCTGCTCACGCTGGAGGAAGCTTTCGGTTGACTTCTTGCGGCTATATATCTCTCTGGTCGTGTTCCCTATAATTCTGGCAAGCTCTACGGTTGCCACTTGATATACACTATCTGAGAAATGCTCAGGATAAGCGCCAGAGAGCAAGTTAGAAGGTGGGTCAACGTGGACATCGTCATCATGGATCTGGACAGGGAACCCTGCTTTTGACCCCCAGAATCGGTCAAGCGTATAGATTGTCCACCATATGCGAACACGATGCTCTCTTTCCACTTGGTGTAATGTCTGACTTTGCGGAACATTATAATTCAATCCGAGGCTGAGGCTGAGCCGTAGAGCATTGCCAATCAAAATGTACGCAGAGTGGAATCGGTTGAGGAATTGACAAAAGTATGCCTTTGGGATGATCAGAACAACTGTTGATGAAACGAGAACAAGGAGATAGAAAGGGCTACCCACAAGAAGGAGAATGCTTTCAATGTGATTCATGCTGGATCTTTCGGGGATGATCTGCAATAGGTTCATTGCACGAGCGAAGAACGCAGATCCCGGCATGGAGGACGTGTTCAAGGTTGTCGTGTCGTAAACTGACGAGAAGGCCTGGCCAACAGCGAATAAAGCAAAATATTTGCACTGAAGACCAGGGTCGTCAAAGTCTCTTCTCTGGTAGATGTTGTGAAGACCATCAAATGTTTCTTTCCTGAGAACCAAGTGGAAAGCAGGGTTTAGATGACCAAGGGCAGTTTTTACTAGTAGCTTGGCATGCACTAGACTTGGCCACTGCACTTCAATATTGAACAGTGATTCCAGAGTATTTTCGTCAGTATATCGCCATCTAGGCAAGTGAAACTCTGGCGAATCTGTCGTGCTCAGACACTGGCAAAGACGAGTGGCGAAAGCAGTACAAGCTGCTTCACTGATGTATAATGGTAGAGCCGAGCTACCGAGGCTTTGGAACCATGGAGTCTCTCCAACTGCGTTATCGTGAATAATGGAGCTAACATCCTCGGGTTGTCGCGAATGATCGTTCAAGTTCCTCCTTTGCTCGAGGTAACTTGAAGGAGCAGGCGGTCCATGAGTCCGGAGTGTCCGTTGATCTTGAAGTTCTTGGCTATCTTGGATGAGCTGTTCCAAGTAGCTATAATTTGCAAGTTAGAAATTGAAGTTTCTCAGTATGAAGCTTGCTAAATAGGGAATCTTGTGCGGCACCTTTCGTCGACTCGAATCTTACGATCGCGATTTGTATAGCGACACTGAGTTGTATAGCCAGCTCTCTGGCATCGTGAGCATGGCTTTTCGCCGGAGCATTTGACCTTTTGCGAATGGCACCGATGGCAACTGGATAAAGGATGAGTAACTATTTAGTTATATATGACTACACTGGAGTACTGACGCAATTGGTCTTTTTTGTGATCTTGTCCCACTCGATGGGTCGTGACGTCGAAATTCTGATCGGTGCATTATGTTAACGGAGATTCAAACAAGACCACTCACTCCTGTCGATCAATATAGTCCAAGCACAACACAAAGAGATATGGCAACAGAGGCGAGTGCAGAGATGGCTATATAGTGGATGTGGGGGCGACGATGGAGTCGGCCAACTTTCAAATCGCCGACTACTGGTCCAATCAGAACTAAGTATGATCGAACCATATACACATCGATAGGCGATTGGTGGGCGGGAAAGTTCCCTAATATGTACTGATGCGAAATATGTGGAGCGTCGTAGAGAGGTAAAGGGCGAGATAATTGGGGCAAATGATTTCGAATGCCACTGCCTTATACTTGACAATATGTGGGTCGGCCTTGTAGTTTCCTTCGGCGGGTTGTCAAAAGGCGTGCGCTCCCACCTTGTCACGGTAGGTTTTTCCAGGTTACTTGCTACCTCTTCCTGTCATCTCTCCGGCTCTCCAACTCAACAGCTTTTGCGTTGATTAGTACCGGAGGCTCCTTAGTCAATGAGGCCGGCTTCTGCCAAGACGGAGACAGAACGACAAGACGACATGCCCTCTAGAAACCATACATGCTATACTGGCTCGAACTCCAGACTAGATGTTGTCACAGAAGGGGTCGTCTACGAAGCGGCAGAATTACCCGACATACAGAAGTTGCACAGACCGAATGATTCAGAGGACGATGCTGAGTGTATCTCACAAGACGATTGCAACTGTCAAATCCAAATTCAAAATGTGAGAAAAGATCTACTAGGTCTCTCTGATATTGCTGACGATACAACTCCAGAAGGGAAATGAGAATTGCGACATATCGATTAGCCGCGATCAAAGCAACGCCGTTGTTAAAACCCCTGCTAGTCGTAGTGTGGCGGAGCAGCCTCCGATGATGCAGACTCTCATGGATCTCGAGAATGGTCTTATTGGCTGGGATGGCGAGCGTGACCCGGAGAACCCCTTGAACTTCACGTCTGCAAGGAAGTGGCTGATCACTAGCATACTATCGGCCATTGGGTTTATGACTCCATTTGCCTCATCCATCATAGCCCCCGCGATATCTTTTATTCAGAAGGACTTTGGGGTCAACGATCTGACAAAAAGTGCCCTTCCAGTGAGCATTTTTTTGTTAGGTTATGCAGTGGGACCTCTATTTCTATCACCCTTGTCCGAGATATATGGCCGCTACATCATCACAACTGTTGCCAGCGCCTTTTTCTGTGTGTGGCTGATTGGTTGTGCTCTTGCTCCTTCATTGAACACACTCATTCTCTTTCGCTTTCTGTGCGGTGTCGGCGGTTCTGCTTCTCAAACTATTGGAGGGGCCACAATAGCAGATCTTTTCCCTGTTCATGAGCGTGGCCGAGCTTTGGGCATCTGGTCACTTGGGCCGATCCTAGGGCCTTCTTGTGCACCTGCCATTGGTGGATTTGTTGCTGAGTCGATAGGGTGGCGGTGGGCTAATTGGATCACTCTGATTCCTACCTTTCTCATAGTGGTAGCCATGGCTATTTTCAACTGTGAAACCAATCACCGGGTCTTGATCGAACGGAAGACAGCCAGGACACGCCAGCAGCTTGGCCGACCCGAGCTTCAGAGTTGTTTCGCCGATCCAAATATTCCTCGCTTGTCGAAAGAGGATATAATCCTTGGAGGTCTAATCAGACCTCTCAGATTGCTTTTTGGTTCCGCTATCGTGTTTGGCATATCCCTTTATATCGCATTTGCATATGGGTGTCTCTATCTTCTATTCAACACCATCCCCATTGTCTTCCAGGACCACTACGGTTGGTCTATTGGCATTGCAGGCATCGTATACCTAGCCCTTTTGATTGGATATATCATCGGCCTGGTCATCTTTTTGACCATGTCTGACAAGACTATAATCCGTATGACTGAGGCGAATAGTGGGGTATACGAACCTGAGATGCGACTTCCTGTTTGCATTTATTTCGCTTGTCTACTACCGATTGCCTTCTTTTGGTACGGTTGGAGTAGCGAGAAAGGCAGTCTTTGGATCGTACCGGTCCTTGGGCTTGTGGTATTTGGCATCGGGTTTGAGTGCATCTGGCTGCCGACTCAGGCATTTATCGTCGATGCGTACCCTCAGTGCGCTGCTAGTGCACTCGCTGCTTTCTCAGTAATGCGAAGTGTAGTTGCTGCATTTCTTCCCTTAGCTGGACCGCAAATGTACCACGCCTTGGGGCTTGGCTGGGGAAATACTGTTTTGGGGTTGATAGCTTTAGCACTTGTACCGGTTCCTTTAGTTATCTACAGATTTGGCAAAACAATCAGGAAGCACGAGCGGTGGAAGCAATAGGAAGACGGTCTGGATATCCTGATAGATTGCGAATTATAAGGGGTTGTTAGCTTTGTATGCGGCGTTGGGGCTTTCAAGCGGCATGGGTCCAGGGTTGGGTGTGGGTTCAGGAGATTAGCCGGATCCGGGATGGGCGGAGGTCCTCCTATACTAGTAATGGAGGAAGGCCAGATTAGCGTCAGTCTCAATCTAGCAACTTATTTGTTACTAGACAAAGCTTTACTGTATCCAAGAGTTGCCACAGAATCTGCAGGTATTCTTTGATATCGGGGAGGACTCAGATGCCCTCTAAATGCTCCCTATACGCACAGCCTTGAGCCCTAACCCATGGGGGTAAATGAAGGCGGACCGTCTGGGTTTATTTTGTTTGGCCCCACGTAGCCGATGATATTATAATTTCCTATGATTTATCTAAGGAACATCTGTAGACGCAAAGAGGGCGGAAAGCTTTCTTAAAGGCTAAGCGTGAGGCGTAGGGAAACAACGAGAGAACAGGGGTAAAACTGAATTTCGAATATCGCTGTATTCTTATTGTTTGGGGGGAATATACAGTATCTGCAGAGTACTCATGCACTTGCTTGCTCGCTACTAAACGTGTCGTGAGGGACTGGTCTGGTGATCTGTCAGCTTCCATATCCCTTGTGCGCGTTGAGAACTCTTCGCTTCGGGATGCGACAGTGTCTGACAGAGGCCATTTTTAGTAGAGTTTTCTCCAACTGACTATATGCTCTAGCTTTCACTAGTGACTGATAGTCGATATGCAGCGCGATTATTGATATGTCGATCTTGATTTCGCAGCAGGAAGATGCTCATAGGAAGATTCTAGGTTTTATTTCCGGCCCTTTTAAATCTCGGCTATCTTCCTTCATTGACTTAATGCTCTTTCCAAACTATCCCATCGTGCACCACCATTCACGGGCTCTTTCCACATAAATTTACCTTTTTGACCTCCATCACGCACAAAACAATTATTTCTCCCACTTCCAAACAATCTCATAGTCCCTCGTGTCCGTCAACACCTCAACATGAAGCTCGTCGCCCTTTTTCTAGTTCTGGTTCCGGTCCTTGCTGCGAGTGGGCCGAGTAACGGCAATGGCGGTGGTGCTAGAGGCCCCATTTGCAGTCCCGGCCTGCTCTATACCCAGGCACAGTGTTGTAGGAATTTGTTGAACATAGAGTACTTGGACTGCAAGCCTGCGCGTAAGTGAACAACTACACGTCTATTTCCTTTTTACAAAACTTCTCACCCCGATCCCAGCTCGATCCTACAACGGGCACGATGACTTCAAGGCTGCTTGTGCCGCAGAGGGCCGAGCCGCTAAATGCTGCACTATCCCGGTTGTAAGTTTCCAAACCTCACAACATATGAGTTATCATCGTGTTAAATCTGTTTAAATCTCAGGCTGGCTTGGGTTTATTGTGTAATGACATTTGATCCGGGTTGTCGTGGCATACTTGAAATATAGGAAGTTTCGCAGGACTAGGGATACAGCAGAACTCAGGCGACATAGCCGTAATCGTTAAGTGGGCCGCATTTTGGAGTGATAGAAGATAAGGGGGAGGCTCATCATCGGGAGAGAGATACAAGCGGGTGATCTTGCCTGATCGCCGGAACCACTAAATAATTTTCTGTGATTCCATGTCATACAGTCTTACCGGTACAATGTTATTACCCTAACTCATCAGTCCAGTACGGCTATTTACCACCCACAGTTCTGCCAAGATTACAGAGCGGTGGACCCTCCGGGTTCTACGGAAAACCCCCAATACGTACTAGCGTGTATTAGTAATCAAGCTTAGAGAAACAATCGAAGTGGTTGCAACTTGTCAACTCCAGGCGCAAGTGTACCTCGCCTCATCAATTCAACATGAATACCAACACGTTGGCTGCGATAAAGGGCCAAGAGTTTGAGAAGATCCAACCAGCAATAGGTTTACGTACCGGAAGAGGTCGATGCGTGTGCCTAGCTCTCTAGAGTATCCATTGCACTAGTTAGGGAAAGGTAGTTGGCTTGCTATTTCCACTCTTTCGAGCATCGACGCCCTTCTTTCCGATTGTACCCACTCCACATCTGCAAGCCGCCACGCTAGGCTGAGATCGCAGATATAGTGGATTCCAAGAGAGATTGGCCATCCTTTTGCGGTATTGATCGCTTTCCAATGAGCGCCACTGTTCGCTAACGTATATAGAGGGGTAGGAGCGGCTGAATCTGCGGTGAAGCGCATGTCTCATAAGTATGTCCTCTCTCCTTCTTCTTTTCTCCATTCCATCAGGACACTACTACTCCATATCCCGTTCGAGATCACACATAAAGCCCCCTTCAAAATGAGCTTCCATCCTAGCAATGTCCATCTTATTGAGGTCGAAAACAACCGCGATCTCGTCGCCACACTCAAGGACGAGCAACTTGGACTTCGAATAGACCGGATCGACCTGAACAAGTATCTAGGATACTACGATGGTAAGTGGCACTCTATACATCTTCTGATCCCAAGGCAACTTAAGCTAATGTGCGTCGCTTTTGGTTTTGTTAGGTGCTTTCAAATGGGACCGCAAGGGCTTCTCCGAATATTGCGAGTCTCTCAGTTTCCGTTGGGAAGGTGAGGTGCCGACCCTACATGCTGTGATGCGGAAAAGAGAAAGTGATCTCAGGGATAGCGCAAGAGCACCATGGGACCGCGACCCATGGGACATGATATCCGTCAACTTAGCCGAGCGGATTACAATCAAAAATGGTGGATTCGAGGTTCAGTCGGTTCCATCTGACTGGCCCTTCAATATCGATGCCATCGAGATTAGCCTCAAAGACAAGCATATTCTCCATGCCGTACTCAAGGATGATGAAGGTAACAAGCGATCATCTACTCTCGACCTGGATGAGCACCTAGGGAACGAGGAGGGTAAGTCACACTCTACACATCTGCCGATTCTAAGACAATATCAGCTAATAGGTCTTTTTTGTTTTTCTTATTAGGGTATTTTAAATGGGGCGGCAAGGGCTTCTCCAAATCCGCCGAAAATGCTAGAATCTTCATTCATGGTGGTTTGCCTTTCTTAGCTGCTGGGCTGGTAAACCCCGCAAACAGATGGCGACCATATGACACAAAGGTCAACTTGGCTGAGCGGATTAAAAACAACAATGGCCAATTGGAGGTTCGGTACGACTAGAACAAAGTATGCATCTAATATATGTGAAGGGAGATGTAGATCGCATAGTTCTGTTTATCTACAGTAGTTTTCGAATTCAATTTGACCTTACACTCTTTCGACTTAATTCCCGGAAAACAAATCCGAAACACGCTGATCCTTGTTCAGGGTCACCGCTCTATTAGTTGGGCAGAACTATTGTTGTAATGATATATCGAATTCCCTAGAACTTGGTAGATCTGGCGATCTGGCAAGGTTATCTGCCCGGCTGCCGCCTTCCAACTAGTCCAAAGTTGCCACTTTCCCTCATTTTTCTAGATGAATCACCTAATTTACTCGCCCTATTAAGGTGAAGCGCGATTACCAGTGCAGGAGGGAGTCGCTGAGGGTCAACTACCAGGCTGAGTACGGGCTCGTATTCTGGTCGAGTGAGAAAATCCACAAGGCGATGGGTCAGGGTAATAAATGCATGCATGCATCCATCCATCCATCCACTGTAAATCAGGATATGTCAGATCTGGCTACACAACCCACTCCCTGGAAAACTTGATTTTTAGATGTGTGTAAACTAAGCCATAATAATATTAGAAGAGATTCATGTAACTCAACCAATGCACAGATTGAGACACCAATCTAAATTGGCCGCTTTGACGGAGATGTTCGGGTTACACAAATCTGTGCTAGATATGCTGCATGAACTGAAGCACTATTGCGTCAGCATGCGTTGGTCCGATTCGACCAAAAAGATGGCAAGCTCGGAAAGATGCATTGCAAACTGCATGTCCTTACGTACGCTAGTGTTAACAATAGCTGGGCAGAAGCAATTGCACCCTTAAGAAACCCACTTAGCACACCGCGTATCTAAAAGCTATACTGCCTTCAATAAAGGCGCAGCTAGAAATCATATTAATATACGTGATAGGAAGTTCCTTCCCCCTGCTTGCGCTCCTTGTACATACAATAAATCACTTTGATTTGCTGGCGACATGTTCGGCTGAGAACCCACCATCATGCCTAATGGGCCAATTTCTCTATTAAATCGCAGCATCAACATGTTCGGCCTGCAGCTGAGCGGTGCTCAATTATTCCTGTGTACCATTTGAGCACCAACCCCTTGACTGCCTTACACCGATGCCTGAAGTATGTCTGGGATGTCAGTCTCTGTTTTCTGGGATTTGCTCCATTATGAATAGTCGCTCGTTGCATAACGTATTTCACAAGCGAGCCGCCACCACAAGCGAGCCGCCACCCTACCTATATCTATCTATTTTAAATGCATTTTTCTTAAGCAAAACGCCATTAAATTCAATAAGCTAAAAACGAGTTCTATAAGGACATGTAGTCAATTTATGACCCTGAATTCCACATATACTGCACTTCGGTAAGGCTCTTCTACGTGGCTGTGAAGGTGTCGGAGCCGATTCTGCCTCACGGGATATTTGTGCTGAAACCGCTTGCTCTGGCTGCGCTACTAAGGTAGAGGCCCCTAAAACTGAGAGGCCTTCTTCGGAAGCTATTTGCTTTTTAGACCGAGTCCTTTTTCGCTTCTTCGTCTCGTTTGCAGCGCGTAATTCGCTTACTTCTTTCTCGAGTAAAGCTGCCGATTATATCATAATTTGGTAGGCCTTTAAAACCTAATTTATCGCGGAATTAAGCGGGCTCGGTAGGCTTCGCGAGCGCTGTTTTAGCAAAGCTTTGATTAAGGAAGCTTGCTTCTGTAATTGTACGTAGTTTAAAGGTGTTTTTAGATCCCACTCGCTCCCCCGGCTCGAGGGGGGTGTCGGGGTTCGAAGGCGAATATCGAGCTTCGAAATCACTCGATCGGGATTGTAAGATATTAAACCGGCGGCGGCGAAGCTATTCTTAATAGTCTCCGATTTAAATGCCTTAATTCACGCGGACGGGTAGGCTTCGAGGAAGTCTAGCTTATGAATATAGTTGATTCTAGCACGCGTTTTCGATTTAATAAGCCGAGCGTAAGCACGTTTTAACACCGTAAAATAGCCGATGTCGAGAGGCTATAAAAGGTGTGACGAATACGGAGGCATACAAATTAGAATAATATCGTTTTTTTCGCAAATTTCGTCGAATCTCGGGGTTAAATGACTTCCGTGGCCGTCGAGTATCAAAAGTCTATACTTCCCCTTCGTACGCGAAGAAGTAGACGGAATAAAGAGCTTTTCGAGCCACCGAACGCTAATTTTATCGGACGTCTACCTATTCAGACTAACCTCGAGTCTCTAATCATTCGGAAGGCCGTCGAACTAAGATTTAATAAAGACTTTGCCCTTAAAAATCACGCACGGAGGAAGCGCCTACCCTAAGGCATTTATACACTTAATTATAGTCACCTACGCGCGATTTCCGGGCTATAAAAGCGATCGCCGACCGTAGTATCCCCTCCTCGTAATAACCTTCGCGGTTGCGATTAAGCCTATTGCGAATCCGGTCTCGTAAAGTTATAGATATCATCGGGATCGATACCGTAAGAAAGGATCGTTTTTTGGACGAGAGAAAACCATTCATAGATAATTTTAGGGTCTTCGCACTTTGCACGCTCGTAATTGTATCCTTTTGAGAATCGGGAGGAAAGGTTTAGATGCCTTTTACGAAGTTTGTAACCTAATTCTCACCGACCGAAATAACCGGGGTAGATCCACGCGCCGCGAGCAATAAATCTGCCATTTCTCGTACAGAAGAGGGCCGAGGGGGTGCTCCGCGAGAATCTATAGAGAGAATCCATTTTTGAAGAGATTCCTCCTCAATTTCGGTCAATTTATGTGAATTTGCGCGTAAAGTAGCTCGTTCTGCATAGCCAGAGAGGCGGTCGCGTAGAGTTGAACGCGGTACTTCAAAAGCCCGAGCAGCGTGAGCAACAGAGCTTATTTCTTTGTTCTTAATAACCTAGATAGCTAATAAGATCCTACCCTCTTGCTCTGTACGATTTCGGGGCGATTGGGTACGAATTGGTGGCATGGTAGGTGGTTGAATAAATTAAATGCTAATTTTCGACGCGTTTTTAGGTAGGGTGGCGGCTCGCTTGTGGTGGCGGCTCGCTTGTGAAATACGTTAGATTTCAGATTACCTATCTCTGTTTATTGGTATGGATGAACGTTGCAAAGATTGGATTATAGAGGCCAAAACATACATTTGTCCTGAGACAACTATGTACTTGTCACCGATGCAGCCACAGGAGTTCCACTGGTAATTGTAGTAATCGGTCCAAATGTTCCGATACACACAAAGTTAGAAGACTGTAGGCCAGCGCAGCCCGTACCAAGCGCGGGAGTTCCAGCTATAAAAGTCGCTATCTGATTGTCAACAAGAGATCGAGGCAACGAGTCGAGAGAGAACTTACGTGAGTGCAACTCCGGCGTCGGAAGCAATGTTATAGCAGCTATCACCGCCGTTGACATCGTAAAATCGAAGACATCCAGCGGCCATACTAGTCTATATTATGTGTGTGAGTGTAATGCAACCTCGATCGTGAAATTTATAGGCTTACCTGTGTTGGCGCTGGATTTGCATGAACTGGATCACCGCTAGTGATGGTCGTTGCGTAACCAGTCTTACCTACGCATACAAAGATACCAGATTGTAGCCCTGAACAGTCTGAGTTCACGGCGGGATTCCATATGTAGAAGTCATCAAGTGCAACTCTCGCATCCAAGGCGATGTCGTAGCAGTCATTATTGGCTTCAACATAGTAGAAGCGGATGCAGCCACTTGCCATACCCGTCTGTTCAGTTTCATTAGTGGTTGAAAAGGACTGCGTGGTTTTTGAATCACTTACTTGAATTAGAGAGGATGTTTCACCGGTGGCTGAAGGAGATGCCAACACTCCCTCTAGGATCACCGTATATCGTTATAATCCGTAATCCGCATCTTCCACACGTTCTACTGGGCAGTGCGTGTCTCCAAAATCTCATACCAATTCGGACAAACCACCAAAACCAACTCAGTCCACTCTCTAAAATATGCCGAGAGGATGAGAGAGAAAGGGAGTTGGGGGCTTTATATCTACACATACCGGCTCCGTCTTAGCTGTAGATGGTTAAACGACAGCCCCACCACGCACCAGATTATCCAACCAGACAAAGCAACAGCCGTGGCATTAGCTGTGCGTGCGCCTCAGGCACTAACCCACATCAAACATCAAATGATATTTGTCGATCTGTAGACAACTGCGCATGTGTACGTGTCGAAGTGTGTAGTAAAAGTATAATTTCCGAACTAATAAGCTGACCACGGAGAGAACGGAAACCTGATCTAGGTAAATCTGGAAGAACTGAATGAAATTGCCTCTTTGGGAAGGAGGTCCTGTTATCAAGTTACACTGGAGTCAGAAGCTCAACCAAAGTCCTCTATGGCCGTCTTGCTCGCCTCCATATGGGTAAGTCAGCTGTGGTAAGTTCCGGACTCCTCCTCCACCGTACCGGATCGCCGTGCTGGTAGTGTCCCCTGTGGGGCACCACGGCTATCGTTTGGGATAACGATAGTCGAGGGGAGAGGCAAGTAATGAAAGACCCTGACCCGTCGGTTGCGCCACTCCTTGGGGTGATTTTAGGGATTTACTACATACTTATCCCTTTTCACATGCTGAACTCTTAGAGAACAATATTTGTACATGTCTTCCTGGTGTACCGAAACTCATTATGATTTTTGCCTCATACCCCACGAGCACCATACTGTACTGACCTTGAAATCATATATGAACATACTAATCGAATCCAAAGACCCAAGACACTATGCAGATGGAGCCTATACTACAACCAACCCAAAAAACAAAAACCACTTATTCCTCCTTCTTCCCCCTAGCAACAACAATAACCCCCCGAACAATATCCCCCCTAGCCCACCAAGCAAACATCCTCCTAGCAACCCGAAACTTCCCCATCTTCAACCCATATGGTACGCCCTCCTCTACCTGCCTATCAATGAAATCAGCCAACCCCCGAAAACAGAACTTCGTCACATCCCGAATCTCAATCTGCGCACGGTCATATCCAGCCGAAACAAGCATATCCACATACTCACTCCTCGAAACGAGATTTGCAAACGGCGTATTCGTCAGCCAGCACAAGACCCGTAACAGCAGTTTCTGATGCCAGGGGATATCATCGGACATGACTAGGTCGAAGGCCATAAGGTTTGCTTGAAGGTTCTTTTGGGCGTAGCTAAGAAGGGGGAGACGTGTTGGTCGGAAGTGGTACATTGTGTCTAGGGCTAGGAGCCATGTTGAGGGGTTGGGTTCTTCCTTTGGTCCTGTTGAAGATGTTTCGAGGGTTGTGATTGATTCTTTCAATTCACCGGTCCAGCTGCTTGGATTTCCTGCGTCAGCGCAGAAGATCTTTGCTGGGATCTGAGGATCTGAACTTCCGCGCTGCATTTCTTTCAGACGGCGGGAGCCAAATGCTGCTTGGATTGGTTCCAGTGTGATTCCGATATAGGATTCCAGTTTCAGCAGAGACGATGATCCAGCCTCGGTTGCTGAATGCCGAAAACGCAGCCTTTGCTTTGAAACCTGTGGATCTGAGGTGTTTCCAGGGTCTCTTGAGGTAGGAGACGAAGCTCTTAGGGTTTTTTGCAGGTATAATGATTGATCGCCACAGCCACATCCGACATCTAGGATTCGGACAGAGGGTGCTTTCTCCGTTGATAGAGCTGTTGTCACAACTTGCTCTAGGAGCGCTTCACATGCTTCTGGGAAGTTGTTTGTGTGCTATTGTGCATGTTAATGATCGATTCCAAGCTCTTGAATTTCCTCATGGGAGTGGGGTACAATACCTCCCAATATCCAACGTTCATCCACATTGACTGTGGCGGGAGCTGGATGTTGAGGACGGCATGGTCGAGTCCGTATAGCTTTGCCGGGGTCTTACGGAAGGCCCGTTTGATGAAGTCTAGCATCTTAGCTATTCCGATATTATGGGCCCTTTGCTAGCACCAAGAGATAGATGCACGACTTGCGTCGGAGTGATGCTAGGACGTCAATGAAGTTTTGACGTTGACGAGTGGAGCTGTGTGGCGGGCCAATGCCAAGCCTTCTGGGCTTCTGCATTTAGTCACACTGCCAATATTGTGGGTAAATCAACGTTAATCCCTGATCTACAAGAGCTGATGTGGGGATTCGGTTTGACATTACGAGATATTTACTCTAGAAACCCAGTGGGCCGGTCGAGGTGTAGAGATATTAGAAAGTGGGTAAAGGCGCAGATAGCCGGATCTATTCAGGTGAACTGCCTGTAAATATCATCACTCATCCACTCCCTCGACCTGTAGATGATATCTGAAGTAGCTCTCTGGCTGCTTGAAGAAATAAAAGAACTGAGAGCGCTGTAACACTATGAACAAGAAAGCAAAGGCAGTGGTCTGGGTGAACAATATCAAGAGTCACCACCTGGAGCAGCAGAGTAGGCAGGGCAATCAATCAAGACAGGGGATTCTTTTTTTTTATGTTTTGACCTTTTTTCCTTGTTTAGCATTTGAGGAAATGCTTTAAGCAATGGTGCCCACGCCGTGCTTCAGGTCGGAAGTACTTGAAGCATCGGGCTTCTGTGATGCGAGGAACTTCTTGAACATGTCGGAGATATCCTGCTCGGTCTGCTCATCCGTGCCGTTCTTCTCCATGATCAGACCACGAAGCCAGTGGTTCTCCAGCTCGAGCTGGGATACACGGGACTGAAGGATTTCGTTCTTGTCGTTGGTTTCCTTGACGGTCTGCTCAAGGGCAGCCTCACGTTGCTTCTTCTTGACACGGAAACGGGCACTAGCAGCGGTGTTACGGCGGCGCTTGTCCTCCTCAGCCATGTTGCGGGAGGCCTCCTCCGCGCTCTCCTGGGTGGACTTCTGCGTGTTCTTACGCTTAGGGCCAGCCGGAGTAGGAGGAGACATCACACTGGATGGTGGAGCCGGTGCAACATTTTTAGGGGCGCTGATTGGCGCGGGCTGAATGGGGGCTTGGTTCGCAGACCCGTTAGGGACGGAGGGAACCGCCGAGAAAGGCACATTGTGCATAGACTGCGCATTGGGGCCATTCAGCTCGGGTTGGTACTCGGGCATAGGCAGACCTTCTGTAAAATACCATTAGCATTCGTTCTATCTGCAAACATTCACATCGCGGTTTCGATATCCCGAAATGGTTGGAGTCAAGTGCCTCCCGATCACGTGAAATGGCGTAATAGCGGGGATCGTTCACGCCAGCCACAGATCTCTCACTGGACGAGAAATCCCTGCGAGAACGCAAGAACATGCAAGGCAACTTCGGGGTCCAAGCTGAGAAAGAGTATGGGATGATCGTGAACTTCGGAGCGCATGAAGCGCGCAAAAATCCAACCAACTCAATAGATCAGAATCACAAGAATGACGAGATCAAGGCAACCAATGACAGTAACCAATGACATAGGGAAAACATAGGCATAGATCTCGTGAACTTGGCCGTACAAAGCTCGTGGAAATGGTGTGATCAGGGGAAGATATGCAGCTCGGACTCCAACCATCCAACCAGGAACGCGAACACAGGCAGCAAATTCAGCCACACTTACCATTCAGGAAATCCAAGAACTTCATATCCGCAGTTCGCGCGGTTTGGTCGGGGACCGCCTCCTGTGTCTTGACATCGTCCACGGATTCGAAGTTGGGCAAGCCGAAGTCGGTAAACTTGTCGAAATCGAAGAATTCGGTGTTCGTGAACAGAGCGAGCTCCTCATCGAGGCTGAAGGAGTTCTGCTGGCGCTGTTGCTGCTGCAGGGCCTGGTCGTAGGGCGAGGGAATCGCGTTCAAATCGTCGATGTACTGCGAGAAATTGGGCGCGCGGCGCCCGCTGTAGCCGGCCATTTTGATTGTAATGTTCTATCAGTTATGGTAACTGCCAGGGACTGATATTTTGGCGTCGGGGGAACAATGTGGGAATGCGCGTTGCGCAGGCGGAGAGTTGTGACTCGATTCCGAATGCGGCTCGGTGGCGGGCTCGCGAGGGAAGTTGTGACCGTCGCGACGGCGAGTTGAAAATTCGATTCGAGATATGGATCGCACGATGGAATGGATGGATTGGAGATGGAGTATGGAGAGAAAGAGAGTGTTAGCAGTTGGGGCCACAAGTGGGTTTTTTCTTTGAAATCGGTGGGGGGCCCGGAGGGGTGTGGGTGATGATTAATCCCCGATTTGCCTCATCCGAACAATGTCCTTCTCTCTTTACTTGTTACTTCTGACAGTTGAAATTCGTATATATTCTGCTAATATCCTTCGCTAGTCCTTTCTTACTTCATTATTTCTCCCTACCCCTTCCCAGTGAAAGTGCACTACTCCGTACTCTTGTGCGAGTCTCATCGGATGCCGGTGGCCGAGGATCGGAGCCCACTTTAAATCAGGGTTCCACGTTCGCACGTTAATCTCCAAATCAGGGCCATTGCAGGGCCAAGCACAATTCATGCATGGGATGATGAGCTGAGTTGCTGCAATAATCACGCAGTCTCTAAATGCTTCTCCTCTCCTCGCAAAAGCATCGAATATACAGCGACAAGCGCGGCCACCGAAAACGAACGCCGGCAGAACGGGGCTACAACGGGCGCACAGGACCCCACATTATTAAGCACGGCGTTTGTAAGCATCCTAATCATTCCGAGCTTGCCCCGAACAGCATGTTACGCCCTCTCCATGTATTATGTAGCTAGCGTAGGACATTGAAATATACCTGGCTTTCTATACATCCATGTTAGCCATGCTATAGAGCTTGGACTCTTCAGAAGCACGGACTCCGATCGGCGTTCGTTATATAGAGGCCTAAACGGGTTTAGCGTCATCTTGTCTGGGAAGGGCGATCCCGATCTCGCTTCTGACTATAACGTTAACTTCATTCTCAAGTACATGCATGGTTTTTATTTCTAATTGTTCAGCAAATATTGGGGTATTTCTCCCCATTCAGAGTTCCTTAACGATGCTTCAACTGTGGAAAGAATGCGTATTGATCTATTAGCGCAACCCCCACCCTACAGTACATCGGCCTTCGTTCAAATTGCTAGCCATCTATTGCACATGTAATTATCATATCTGTTTAGTCATGTTATGATGTATGAATGATTCTTAAGAGGAGCTATTGCTCGGCATGCTGGTCTTTCATGACCCAAAGATGACAACGTCAATTTGATATCTTACGCGGCGGAAAAACAGGTTTTTGGTGTGACCTTACCATAAATCATTTGCGATGTCTTCATCATCCCATTCAAAAACCTATTATCCTGTCGTGCTCTGAAGCTATCTTATAGCAAGCTCTTTTCTTCTACACATATCCGGTTGGTGTACCGCGTGGAAGCATCCCAAATTCCGAATCCAGTGCGCATAGCAGAGTATTTCTGGTGAATTAACCCTAATCCTAGTCGTCAATAAGTGAAGAATGCTCGGGCTCCAAGTATGACGAGTAACTATCTAACATTCGAATCACCAATGTTCTGGGCCAATCCCAACATCGTTAACATCCACCCCCTCCACAAACCATCGTCCCGTTCCATCTCCATCCGGCCCCAGGATCAGGTCATTTCCTGACATCATTCTCTTTTCCATTTTGCCATCCTTATCAAAGGTCCAATCCTCCAATCCGTAGCATCGCGTCCACTTGTCCCCATTCTCCGTATCCTGGTATTCATACCAGAATTGCACTGCGATACGGTTATCGGTAAACGAGAAAAGTTCCTTTCGGAGACGGTATGATTTCTCTTTCTTCCATTTGGCTGTGAGAAATTTCACAATGTCATCGGTACCTCGGAGAAATGAGGTACGGTTACGCCAAATGCTATCCGCAGTATAGGCTTTGGCAATTGCCTCGGGATTTCTATCATTGTTTAGTATAACAACAGGGTTTGACATGCGTGAGGATACTGACTGAGTGTTCCACATGTTTTGGGCAGCTTTAACTTTGCTTGTTGCTGTTTCGAACGTGAAGGGTGGCGTAATTGATGCCATATTGCTGTTGGCGAAGCTGGTCGGAAACTGGCTACAGTATATTGTAAGAGAAGAATGGACAAAGGTAAGATATATCTAACTTGTAAATGTTAGATTAACGAGCTAAATAGTTAGTTGCAGTTGAGTGAATACGTAACTCCCGGCCTTGCAAGGTTCCGCCACCATCGGCTCCGAAAGCCGGGCTAATAGCGCTGACTGTTTCACTTTCCACGACCATAATATTATTTCAAGGGTGATTATATAGGTTAAGGTATCTTTCTCAGTTGATATTTGATAGAAGAAATTAGTCGACGGACCCTTTCATTTACCTTATTGGGCCTTCAGCCGATGTTCGCTAAGCCCAGAGGTCAAGACGAAAAGAATATTTGCTCCTGTACAGATGATTTCTTGGTATCACCCTTAACATCACACTGCATGTGTGAAGCGTATATTCAGCCTGTCGATCTCACAATATGCGAATCAACGAAGGCAATAGCACCTTTTTAGTTTCCCCGATAAATTTGCCTAGATATGCATACATCGGTTGATTAAACTAAACTAGTGGTCCGTGTCTTATATGCCAACCGTTTCTCTGACCTGTTACATATAGGGCAAATGATCCCAAGACAACCTGCAACATAGAGCATAGAAAGTAAGACATACAGAGGGCAGGCTCTCGAGTTTTCGGTTTTGCTCAACTACCGTGTCAGCAAATTTATTTGGTGAGAATGCTACTTCAACAAACTATTCGGAACAAGGCACCCTATCGGGGATATAACAAGCCGACAGTGACGAACGAGCTCTAAGAGGTTCGTCGGAACAATCTCATCCTCCGGGATATTATTGACCGGGATTGGATTTTGCTTTCACAGGAACTGTCAAACCCGAAGTCCCACCTGGGCAGGTAGCAGTGATTGGGGGCCATAGCCCCTACAATGTCCGCAGATCAAACTACCAACTTCCTAATATCTCTTCTTTACTGCCAATCCCGACGACAAGTACTATACTGTGAATACAAGCATCCATTCCGCATCAATAATGACCCAAAGGAGCTCATACTCCGTATCCAACCCCTCATCTCAATCTTTAACAGACAACTCAGCAAGTAGAGGTCACACAAGCTATCAAAATGCGGAAGCCGACCGAAACGAACTCTTGTCCAGCCTCTCCAGAAAACAATGGGTTCAACTGGGAATCGATTTTGTCTTGTCGTAAGTATTTCACTCTGGTATGTGTGATCTCATAGCTCACAGATACGGTTCAGATTAGAACGGCCATGCTTATACCGCAACCAAAACAACCAGCCAACTAGTCATCCCTCATCAGTAGAAAGCAATCCACGACAAAATGCCCCCGCCACATTGAATAATAACTCTCGATGGGAAGCAACGGTGGAGGGTTTTCGGAAACTCTTTGAAATGGCTGGCGGACTGGACTTGGATGGATACATTATGCCTGTGCAAGCTTGGAATCGAATAAAGGTCCATGAGAAGTTTTCGCGAATGACGCGTGGCAAGCTGGAACAGTTAGAAGCGTCTATGAGGCCTCATATCAAGTGTCAAGGGTAACTATATGGCCCTTTTCTTTGTTTGTTGCTATATTCTAATAACTTGCAGATTTGCCGCAATCGTGGAAGAGCCCATCTTCGAGATTTTGTTAACCCAAATTCTCAATCAATGAAGATAATTTCTTCAACGCAAGACACTGTTCAGACAGCTATAGTTTCCATGTATACCTACAGGAAATCTATGAGTCTGGCACAAACGAGAGATATATCTTTGAGATCTTCATACGGAGTTCCCAACACTAATCATGATTAGTCCCCCATTTGAGATATTAGTGGGATATATGGCTTTACAAAGGGGATACGGGGTTAAGACTTGGTATAGCCACAGATTGTTGTGCTGACTGAAATGGTATGAGACATGAAGAGGTCTGGACTAGTTGTTTGGGGGGAAGGGGTTTGATATTTACATAAGACGGGAATGCAGATTGCTCTGTTGGGCTAAATTGACAGGGGTATTAAATATTCATGTTCCAATATTTTTACCAATTCAATTGCGAAGCACGTACAAAAATAGACAGTTAAAGTCGCAAGGTAACGAAGTTAACTAACTTAACTTATAGTTAATGTTATGGCATTAGGAAACATAACTTAACTTAAAGGTCAGGCATGGGAATTGATAGGGACACTCCCACTTTTGTTCCGGACACTCCTAATTATGTAATATCCATGATTAGGTAATTGAAAACGTCATGTGATTGTATTGGAATTACCACAGCAACATCATTCTAAATGTCATACCATAGTATAGTATATTAAACGTATAAATCCCCAGCTCTCGCCTCCCTCTTTTCTTAGCTCCTCAAATCTCTGCCTCTCGGATTTTTCAGAAATGGAGCCCCCTACTGAGCAAATTTTTGATAGCAGAGATTTATTAATTGCCTCTGTCCGTCAGCATGCTCTCTCGCAAGGTTACGCTGTCACTACTATACGATCAATCACAGATAAGTACATCTATCTTGGTTGTGACCGTGGTGGCACGTATCGTGACCGAGTGAATGCTCCTGATGGAGCGAAACGAAGAACGACAACTACACGGCGGATTGGCTGTCCATTTAAGCTATACGGGAAAATGCTTTTTGATGATAAGTGGGAGCTACAGGTCCAAAACCGGAATCATAATCACACAGCTGATGATAATATGATCGGACATTCAGCTGCCCGTCGGCTCACAGAGGAGCAGCTTCAAAAGGTCCTACATCTATCGGAAATTGGATCTCCCCCTCGTGGCATCCTAGCTCTAATCAAACGAGAGCATCCTAATGTTTTAGTTACCCCTCGAGACATCTACAATGCGCGAAGTGCTTTACGAAGGCAAAAGCTCGGTAATAGTACTCCCCTTGAGTTTCTACTGAAGACTTTGAAGGAAAATCACTGGAAATATGCTATTAAGCAGGATAGCGAAGGACATGTCCTCTTTTTTATGTTTGCACACCCAGAGTCAATCAAGTATGCTAACCTATACAACAGGGTATTCGTCCTAGACTGCACCTATAAGACAAACCGATATCGTATGCCTCTATTGCATATTATTGGTGTCTCGCCATCAAATTCAACCTTTAGCGTTGCATTTTGCTTTATGCAGGATGAACAGGAAGAGAGCTATATTTGGGCTTTAAAGACTTTTTTCTCATTTCTCGACCCCCTCTCTTTCTATCCAGTTCTTTGTACAGATAGAGACCTTGCATTATTAGGTGCTGTCAAGGTCGTCTGTCCAGATTATCCCCATCTTCTTTGCATCTGGCATATTAACAAGAACGTAACGTCTAATACGAAGCAGCATTTTACGACGAACGCCGAATATCAAACATTTCAAAAATCATGGAATCAGCTAATTTATTCTACTACAGAGAACGACTACAATTCGAGGCTATCAGAGTTCGAGAAGCGATATCAGACCTCCCCTTCTCTTCGATATGTTAAGGAGACATGGCTAATTCATAAAGAAAAATTTATAGTTGCATGGACACAACAATGCCTACACCTCGGTAATTCTGCGACCTCTCGAGTTGAAGGCTCACATGCCTTTTAAAAAAGCACATCGGTGCTTCGACAGGGGATATGTTGATCGTATTTGAAAGGATTTCACAGGCTTTACAAACCCGGCATGCTACGCTTGAATATGATTTTAGACGAGATCAGATTGAGAGGCCAGTAGTAACCTTACATCAACTTTATACTAATATTGTGATCAGGACCTCCCGCTATTCGATACGACTAATTGGCGAGCAAGTTACAAAGGCTAGAAGAGCTACAAATCTTGCTCCTTTACCCCCTTGTACTAATACGTTCACAAGGACAATGGGTCTTCCTTGTGCCCATCGGATTACTAGTTTATTGGAGAGCAATAAAGCTATCCCATTGACAGATATCCACCCATTCTGGCGAACTGGGCTTTCTGAAATGGAATCAGAATACCTTCCTCTCTTAGAGCCTTTGATTCCTTTTCCAAAGCCTAAAAAGCGGAAGTGGGATCAATTGGAGCAGAAAGACAACAGCCAGACTATGAATAAACGGAAGAGGGCACCCTTTAAATGCACTGCATGTGGTAAAGTTGGGCATACACGAAGGTCATGTAAATAATACGGAGAATGAATACCAATACAATCACATGACGTTTTCAATTACCTAATCATGGATATTACATAATTAGGAGTGTCCGGAACAAAAGTGGGAGTGTCCCTATCAATTCCCGTCAGGCATCTATATATTATGTAATACGATCGTGAATTCTTATCAGCACGTGCTTGTTTGTTGACAGCCATTTTGGACGCGAACGAGCTCGAGACACAAGAATACTACAAGCCCTGAGCTGAAGGATATGCGGCTGCTATTTATCTGAGAGACCACACCCAGTCAGGTTGCTCACACGACCCTTTTCGCAATTCTGGCTATGGCGCGTCCAAAAACAGTTCGCGCCCCGACAACGGCCAGTCTTTCAAATAATCTCCGCATCCCCTCATCAACCCCCTCGCTTTCAAAAAATCTCGGAAAGCTATCCAGACAAGCCCTACTTGACCTGGCATTCCTATGGCTTGATGACCGCAATATTGCCTCGTTCCCGCCGTACCTACGACACGATGAAGACGGACCTGACGATGACGAAGCCCTCCCCTACCCCGCCGCCGAGACAATCGAGGAAGTGCGCCAGGCATACAAAGACCTCCAAGATCGAAAGGGTGGCAAGCGCGAGGTCCTCGAACGGATACTAGAAGGCGATTGGCGACATGGAATCACATTGCGACAGCTAGCAATGGCCGACCTACGCTACATGGATGACCACCCAGCCAGTCTTCGATGGACAGCATTGGAGCTCAGTCGCATCGGTACCAAACAGAAAAAGTCCGAAGAATCACCATCAGCCGACTGGTCCGGCTCGGTTCCGCGCATGCAAGCTGCAACATTCGTTCAAACCCTCCAACGGGAAATCTCCCCGCTGGTCAAAGCACATTATCATCTCGCCCGCTCAAGAACACTTCCCCTGACGATCCTGCGAATATTTGTCGTTGACTCGCCGTATCAATCTCCACGACAGGCGGCTGAGATCTTCACAGACTCCTCGCGTGTCATCTACGTCGCTTTCCCGGACAGTTGTCCTTTCGTGTATACATCCATTACGGCATCCACAGGATCGAAAGCAACTCCGGCAGCAAGCTCTGTGGCAACTGATACTCGTACCCTTCAGCGCCTGGTGCGCGATTCTATCCCTAAGGCTCTTTCCCGACCACAGGAACGATTCAACCTGAAGCCTACATCGCTGGCAGCAAAGAACCTGCCAACACTTCTTGCACTCCGAGGTCCTGGCCGCTCATCATCTGCAAATGGAGCATTTAGCATCTTTGCCGATGCAGTCATTGAAGGGAGTCCCTTGGACCCACGACCTTCAAACACAGTCACACCAGAAGAGCATCTCCAAGCAAGTCACGAGTCTATCACTGAAGAAGGAAACGAAAAAGAAAACGGCAGTGTTGGAGAAGTCTCCGCTTCGAAGCGCAAACCCGCAGGGAATGAGACAGCTCCCCTGTCTCCAACCTCAAAGAAACGCCGCCTGGCTATCCACTCCAGATTTGGAACCTCCGGTTCATCACTAGCCTCCGCGCCACTAGATCGTCTTGATATTCGTCTCCTCGACAAACCAGGCGCTGACAACGGTCATGAAGGCGACAATTCCTCCGTGTCCACTTTACCTGCCGTGTCACTCAACTTCGCTGGATCAGATGTTATCACTGGTATCCGCAAGCTCGCCGAGCTGGGTATCATCGATCCGGAACGTATGCCATCATGGATGACAGGCGAAGAGGGCATAAGTGTTGCAACTGTTCGACAAGGTCGACGGCTTCAAAAAGGTGAATAAAAGGGTTTCTGCTTGGTGTTCTAAGGCTTTGTGGCGTAGACATTTATGGTCTCTTTTCTTGTATTGGAATTTTGGTGGTTTGCTGTGATACCCATATTGGAATGAGTGGATCATTTCTGTGAGCTTTTTGATATTGTCTGTAGAGAGGAGTATGTTGTCGAAGTGGTCTCCTGCATGGCTTGGTTTGGCTTTTGTAAGCTTGCCTTGCCTAACATCCTAGCCATATCACGATATCCTTATCTTTACGATGAACGCTTGTCTGTTATTTTGTAGAGCTGGTGATTATTAATTATTAGAAAGAAATGTATTGGGAGATAAAACCATGTAGGGAATGATATCATCTTGAACGCGGGAATCCTCAAAGAAATCATTCGTAAAGTTCGTAATTCATATCGGGCATTGAGCAAAAAAAGAGCACCCATAACACCAGCGAAATAACCTGTAAACCATCTCCACGGAAAACTCCTCTGAATAGCTCCATGTTCGAACCCTAGATCTTGAAATAAGCCCACGCATATCGTCAGCTTCGTTGGAAATGACAGACTATGCTTCCGAGATAGCAAATTTGCGTATCGAAATTCCGAATAATGGCCCCTAGGCTTGGAGATTGGCAAAAAAATTGTCTCCCGCGGTAAGGACGAAGGACCTACAGTTATGCCAGCTATGCACTGGGACTGGGCGGTTTCTTAACACGTGTGGGAGAAATCCCAAATTGCTCCGCGACGTTGACGTAGCCGAGCTTGTTTCGCTGGCCACTCTCCCGAAGGTTCTGAATGTTCTGTCTCGAATTGCTGAACTGCCAGGGGTACGGCTGTGATAACATTGTAAGAAACCCTAAAAGATCCATTTGTGGGAACAAGAACAAGGGTATAATCACGTACCAATAAACGCAGCGGACAGCCGCGCCAGAGGCTTTGTTGGTAGATATCCACTTGTCAAAGCAGAGCTTGTGAACATTATTACCGCAGCCAGTCTTGCACCATGTTACTTCCTCGCTGGGGTCGAAGTCCATGAAGCAAATTGGACAGGCGTCTTCAATTGGCTTCCGGACATTGTCAACATCCACTGGGGAGGCAAGCTCGATCTGATGCAGCGGCGAGGCAGCGAAAATTCCAGACAGTTCCTGTATCATGCCAAGATGGGTTAGAGACATATATCAGGGAATCGCACGACAATATGCTGGGGGTCCTTAGCATACCGAAGGCAGGAAAGACATCTGGAATTGTAGTTCCTCTGGAGCTTTCAGGACATTCACAAGGACTTAATAATTTATCTGTTTAGTACAAGATGCACAGAGATATATCAAGGAAAATGGACGTACCGTAGATAATATGCTTGCATTGACTTGATCCCTTTCGAAATCTCGAATCTGGGCAGTCGCACATCGGGACTTTCCCAATGGAGGTTTTGTAAAGATTTCCGGTGGTTCCCAAAATATCAAAGGAGACCACTGGTACATTGCCCACCTGGTCAAGCTTGTGGTTGACCACGAACATCCTAGAACAAGAGTTAATATCCTGATCACCAGATCAGATTGAAGCTACTTACTTTTCTTTCTTCGCACGCGTCGCACGCTCCAAGAAAGCTTTTGGTGGCTCCTCAAGCCAGTCGCGAGGACGCTTCTCAGAAGGCGAGGCCGGGAAATATTTCCTGGGCGTAGTTGTGGTCGCTTTTCCAGCTTTGACGACATCTGCCATGGTCGTGGGTGCAGACTCAGTCGCCTTGGACAGCGTCACAGCCAAGTCGCCTTTGGCGGGCCCATCAGCTCCATCGCCTTCGCTGGTCACTGTGGCTTTCGACTCGGCTTTCTTTCGAACAGCTTGTTTGGCCCTCTTGGCCCTGGGCTTGTTCTTGCCCGCGGGTGTATTGGCGACCAAATCTGGCTTGGATGTCGGAGCAGACGCTTTTTCACCCGCCTTTCGCTTGCGCGTAGTGGTTGATTTGGCTGAGCTCCCAGGAGCAGGACTTTCTTCCTGGGCATCAGCTGCATCCATCAAGGCCTGCTGCCTCCGCGTGGTGGGCATGATGAACGACGTGCCTGTTAGGAATATGGCAAGAGAAAGAGGAAGCTTATGCTATTCTCCATTTTAAATTGCTCACTGACAGCTGACACCTGAGCGAACAAACAGGAAAGAGCGATGTCTATAAATGTTTGCATTGTTTGTTGGACTTATCGTTATCAAACTGGTCTGCCTCTCTACACTCTACGCTCTGCGCCTTCAACGCTGCAACATGCTAAACTCAGAGTCTAGCTAATTTACAAACTATTTGATCTCTCTGGATCATCCCCTATTTTCCATGTCGCGTCCTCGGGCCCTGTCGGGCGCTGACGCCCCGAAAGAACCACATGCAGTCTCTCTGAAAGGTACGTCACACCCACAAGTCGCAGTCGAACCAATGTACTAACTAATAGAATAGTATTACGGTGACTAAACCCATTTCAACAAGCTCTTAGGGTTATCCTAACTCCTTGCAGCTTGTCGCGGCCGTCACTTTCTTATCAGTACCCCCTCCCAGCCTCCAACAACACGATCTCCACGAAAGCCTCTCTAAGTTACCCGTCCCAGGACTCCGATGATCAGTTCACATTAGCGCCCCTTGTGAGGCCACCAAGATTTGCTTGATCCGGGATTAGCGTGCTAACGACAACAGCTTACACTACCCCCTCCTTCGGATCCGTCTACGTCGGCGAAACCTTCGCATGTACCCTCAGCGCAAATAACGAACTTGACGACGATGATGAAAGAGTCCTCAAATCAGTCCGCATTGTCGCCGAAATGCAAACACCCTCTTCAGTAACGGTTCTCGAACTCGAGCCACCCAGCGACTCGGCCCAGTTAGAGGGCCTAAAGATCGGCGAGTCATTACAAAAGATTGTACGATTCGATTTGAAAGAGGAAGGGAACCACATCTTGGCCGTTAGTGTTAGTTACACGGAGACGAGGATTGGGTCCGACTCCCAGGCAGCCAGTGGACGTGTCAGGACCTTCCGCAAGTTATACCAATTTGTGGCACAGCCCTGTCTGAGTGTACGGACTAAGGCCTCTGAGCTACCACCATTGGAAGTGGATAACAAGTCACTCGGACCATATGGGAAGACTAGGTTACTCCGGTTTGCCCTGGAGGCACAGTTGGAGAATGTGGGAGATGGCGCGGTGGTAGTTACGGTAAGACCTCTTTGAACCTCCATGGTGTCCCGACAGCAGGGACGGTACCTGAATATCGGGCTGAAAATGTTTGATTTGAGTTCGACTAACATGGGGATGGACAGCAAACCAAACTCAACCCCAAGCCACCGTTCCAATCGAAATCTCTGAACTGGGACACGATGAGCCCGAATATGTCAGCGGCGTCACCACCGACACTTAATCCGCGCGACGTGCTGCAGGTTGCCTTCCTTGTGGAACAAGAAGAAGGCCGAACCGAGGGCCTTGATACCCTCCAGAAAGATCTAAGGCGCGATGGTCGTGCCACGCTGGGTCAGTTGTCGATCGAATGGCGCGGCGCCATGGGGGACAAGGGGTTCCTGACCACAGGCAACCTCATGAGCCGGAAACGCGCCTGAAACGCGGTGTGCACGACACCGAATCCCTTTCCGTGCCACAATATGCCGGGTCTGGCGCAGCCTGCCGGGTTGCATGGACGTGAGTGGTTTGTACATGTTCTGGACCCACTGGTATACAATATGACCATTGGCCTAAATACAGTGTAAATGTAGTCCTTTGGACGATAGAGCCACATAGAGTATATGAGGCTGATAGCCCTAGCGCCCGGAAAGCAGTCATGCAGCCCAAGCTTAAGTTTCGCACAATTCCCTCCCCACTGGCAAAGAAAAAACGGCAATTCTCGTCCGGTCCAAAGAGCCACGTATTCGGGACAGGGAATATTCTTTTGGGTATGTATACAGGAGTCTGCTAGAGTCGAGGCCCGTTGGCAAAGGTCTAGACTCGCGTTCAGCTGAAATCTGCCATACGCGGCAGGAGACTATAACCCGATAGTCTTCTATATAGTTCTTTCAACTTCTAATCTGTACCATACGATATAGAAATCATACAGTCCTTACGGCCACGATGTCATTCAACCAATTGAGTTAATTCATCTAATTTACGCTAGGCAAAATTCAATCAGTTCGGCCCCCACCGCTCCTTCTCGTCTCGAAACATGAGCATGCATGTATACACGGGCAGATGCGGGTTGGGTTAACCTTGTCTCATACCCCTTGGATGCAACCGGACTAAACGGGCTACTGGTGCATGTGCCCCCCTATCCGCGTAAGGGCCGTATGCAGGAAGCCATTGAATAGATAAGCGAGATATACAAAAGATAGAGTCCATAGATACTAGGGAATCGAAATATAGAACAGAGATATACTCAACTGCGAAACTAAGGGCTTCTACATAAATGTAAAGGAGTGAGTTATTCAATCAGATAATATTATTCATGAAAAATATACCAAATTGATACACTTTGCTTTGATCCACACCCAAGTTTAGTATAGATCGTCTCCCCGGGAACACTCTCTCCACTTGGCAACTCCTGGAAAGCAACAGTGTTATATGTGCTGAACTGAGCTGCGAGATATATGACCATTGAGCTGGTGTAAAGTATCCAGTCCATGGCGTATATACCCTTGCCGAGTCGATATCGGTGTATTGTATAGTGAAGCACAAGACCAACATGCACAATATGCAAAGCCCACAATCCTCTCCATGTTCGGCACTTGCCGACCCTTCCCCCCTGAGGGTAACAGTTCTTAAAAATGCGTCAGAACAAGTTCAGTCTACCAAATAATGACACTATGGCGTCCACCCCCCCAAACTGATCCGCCCAAGATAGAAACCCCAAACGCCATGTCTCACTCGCAGGTCGAAGAGGTTAGGCGAAGGACCCCCAAAATATCATAGCATCTCCGTTTTATAGGGAGCTCGGACACCTCGGGACGTTAGTAGAGGGCTGAGATATTAACCCGCTTCTTTTTTCCGAGAACACCACGTTACCATGGAACATGGCCCTGTTGACCCCTGGACTTGGGATCTGGGATTTGCGGAAAGTCCGATAGGATTTCCTCTCCACCGTACCGAAGAATGTGAGGCAGTTGCATGCTTTAGGGGTGGAGCCGGAGAACTATACGCAAGATAAGGAAAGAGTTCTTCAGCATATAAACCCGGGAATTGTTATACATAAGCCGTAACCCTGTATCCCCGGGAGTCTGGAACACCCTCAGCCCAAACGCAAGTCAGATTCTTGTGGAATGGAGTAGAGACGCACACTCGTCAAGGCTACGCAACCACCCGGGAGAAGGGGAAAGAAGAAAAGTAAAAAAAAAAGAAAAACAAAAAAAATATTGGGACAAATAGAAAAAGAAATAGAAATGGAAATAGCAAAACTGGAAGAGAAACGTACAAAGATACAAAATATAAAATTACAAAATAGAAAGAAAACATTTCCACTCCTTTTTACGTGGACCTTCAACCCCGAAATTGATCTTCGCTCTCAAACCACCCCGCCCCTCCCTAAATTCTTCCCCCCCGAAACATATGCTCTACTCCCCCTTTGATGATACCATACCCATGTGGTGACAATACGTCCGACGCGACTCTCCACAATGCCGTCGTCTAGCACCTCCACGGAGGGCGCCCCCTCGCCGATTACTTCTGGATAGCCGGTGTTGACGGTACCGAGATCCTGGACACATTTAAGAGATTGGGAGAAGACTACCGTACCAATGGCGCCGCCTCCCCGGGCCCAGCGGTCGCAGACACAATTCAAGAGGACGCCGACGCGGAGGAGGAACACAACCCGGACGGGGCCTCGCGGCCCAACTCGATGCTGTTCACCGGCGCCAGTCGCCGCGGTTCATACCAGCGCCTATCCACGCTCTCCAAAAGCTCCGAGGGAACCAATGGTCCCGGCAGTAACAGTAACCGCAGCAGTGTCACTGTTAAGGGTGCGTCGTCGCCCCTGCGCGGCTCGGCTATGTTCATGGAGGACTTCGATTTCGATCAGGCGCTGTTCAAGTTCGCGAATGAGCGGGAGTCGTTCTTGACGGATTTGAGTCTGAGTGCTGGTGCCATTACGCCGAATACGCGCCCGCGGTCCCGGGTTCGTACGCAGAAGATTGTTTCGGAGGATTCGCCGTCGCAGGGTGGGAATCTGTTGAGGTCTGGTATTGGGAGTGTCAGACGACACATGTCTTTCCGCGATATGAATAGTATGAAGCGGCAGCCGTCTATTGCTCGTCAAGGTGAGACTTGCGCGGGGCATTGTGTGTCTGGGATTGGAGTGATCAGAGCTAACGAACAAATTCTCAGCTTCGGTGCGAACCTCCCGACGACTCAGTAACTATAACTCTGTTATTCCAGTTCCGCAGCCTCTTGAGATCTCCCCGACAATGCATCCGTTAAAGCGACGATTCGAACCTGTCCTACTCGACCGATACCCCACACGAGGGATGCCTGACGAATTGAAGCAGCGCGGCAATTTCCCCGATTATGTTCCCATGTTTGCCTTTCCGAATGATATCAATATCGTCTCCTCCGACCAGCGACCACGCTCTACTTGGCACGGGTTTGCCATGACAACGGACAATGGTTCCAGGTTGCACGCTATCTGTGTGATTATCTGGATCCCGCTCAATCAGAACGCAGCAGAAGAGCTCGAGAAGCGCTGCGAGGAATGGAGGAAGGATAACATGACCGACGAAGAGCGCGAACTGGCCGCGAGCTTGGGCGAGCGATTGGCATCCGAGCGAGCTAAACTTTCCCGCCTACTAGCACAGCTACCGACAGTTCCATCAGGGTCTGAATCCCGTGAACAGCTTGAGGATGATATCAGTGCTGTGGAAGAGAAGATCGGACTGATGACTGATCTCCTACGTCCGGTCCGCCACGGTGCAGCCTCCAAGATTGAGGGTCTGACTGATGGTGATACGGGATTCTGGATTCCCCGCGCGTACGGTATTCTGGGCCGAGAGAGCACCATGACCAGTTTCTGGAAGGAGTGGCTCAAGGCTATCGTGGTGCCCATGACGGAGGGAGGTGTACAGCGTGTGCCTCCTCCTTCTCCGCGTATGGGAGTATGGCAGCCGCTGGAGCGATATGTTATGAATCTCTGCACCGAGGCGTTCTGTCCGATCTCTTCGAAGACGCAGGTCGAACTGGCCATTCGGGAGTTAAGGTTGTTTGCCCGCAAAGAGGCGCCCAATGAGATCCCAGGGTCCCGAAACGTATGTATCCTTCGACTTCGATACACTTGGACCATTCGCTAACTATTTGCAGACTGATCTCTATGCCTTGTTCCGAACTTTGTCGGTTCCCAATATCCTGATTCTCTTCGAGGTAAGGTTCCTTCCGACTGGGTTGACGACAATGCTGACCATTGGTAGTACGCTCTTACCGAATCTCGCATCATCTTCTTGTCCTCCCACACTTCCATGCTTTACCTTGCCACCAGGGCGCTGGTCGACCTTCTGTTCCCTATTCAGTGGGCTGGTGTTCTAATTCCTGTGCTTCCCGCTCGTTTGATTCAGGCCCTGGAGGCCCCTTGCCCGTACATTGTTGGTATCGAGCGTCGATACGAGAAGGTGGAGCTGCCGTCGGACGATTTCGTTCTGGTTGATCTGGATTCAGACATGATCGAAAGCACTATCCAGCCCACCGCCCTCCCACGCCACCAGCGCAGAAAGCTTCTGTCATTGTTGCAATTGGCTGCTCCTCAACACAGCCGATGCCACGTGCCTACTGGACCCCCGGCATATGCAATTGAAACGTATCCCTGGGACTCGTTCCTGTCCGAGAGCAAGGCTACGTTCCAATCCAAGGCTCCGGCCACTAACCTGGCAAAGTATGTCGGTCTCAACTCCAGTGCGTTCGGCCCGACCGCTGTCGTCCCAGGCACATACTCGCCCCCGATTTTCAACGTGTTCTTGCATGCCCGCAGTGAACAGGGACCCTCCCGTGGTTACTCGTCTCGCGGAAATGAGCGCCCAGGAACTGGAAACACCATCAGAGCCAGTGCCTCCCCGCCATCCCCGAGAGAAAGCTCGCCCACATCTGGCTACTTCCCTCCCCCTCCACCAACCCCATCCTCGCGCAATGATTCCGGCATGGCTCTGCAGGCGTCTTTGCGTGAAAAGCGCTCCGGTCACTTCGATGCCTCCTCCCGGCGAAGCTCGTCGTTCGGCATGAGCCGGCGCCCTAGTGCTCCGTTCCTCGGTCACACTTCGAACCTCTCAGTAACAACCCTCAACACTGAACATGGTGGCCCTGGCTCCACCTATGCTCCCTCTGTCTATGCGCAATCCACCATCGCTGCATCGACAATTGTCCCCCAGGCCAACTCACAGCAACCCGACAACAACCAGGGCACATGCTGGGCCGAGGGTCACTTCTTCCAAGTCCAGCCATGGGATGATAAGTTGACCTGTGCCATTTGTGACGACCGTGCAGAGGAAGGGATGTACAAGTGCTCTGCTTGCAAGCTGATCGTCCACAACCGCTGTGCTTGTATGGTCTGCCTGCCGTGTGATGCAGCCTTCCATCCTGATCAGATCCGTGCTGCATTTGTCAGATGCTTTGCCAGCTTGTTCTACACTTATAAGAAGTTCCTCGTCCCGGCCACTGGCGAAAAGAAGAAGTCTGGAATGTACTATACGTTCAACATGGAGGCCTTCATGAAGAGTCTTCCAAGTGAACATGCTGAGTACATTGCTATTCTACAGCAGACCCAAGGTAAGTCTCAATAACACGTCAATCATAAAATAATACTAACCTATATCAGGCTTCAACGAGTTCATCAGTGATCGAGAGAGAACAAGCCCCAAGTCCAAGGACCCGCGGATGGCACTGTTCGACGAGATCGTCCTTTCAAAGCGTAACCGAGGCCGCACATCCATCTTCTCCGGCCGCTCGACAACCGACTTCTTATCAGACACATCCAACCACCTATGGCGCACCGCCAACGCCACCTTCTTTGCCCCAAGCAGCCGTAGCCAGCAGAATCTCTCCGCTGATTACAGCAGAGTAGTAACGAGAGGTAAGTCCCAGCACCCAACCCACCCATCCCGTCCCGTCTCTGACGATCTTCTGCAGCACCGGCGAAACTAGATGAAAGCCTGATGACAGAACCCCGCATGATCCACGGCACACCAAGGGTTTCCAAGACGGCGAATACTGCCCGCCGAAAGCCCCTGCCTAAACTGATGAATGGCCTGGCGATATCTCCCCCTAGTTAACGTTAATTGGTGCGAATCCAATGGCGAGTGTCCCCGTCGTTATCTTGCCCTCGTGGGTCCGATCTTCTGTGTCCCGTGTGTGTACATGTGCACGCGTCTCGAAACACCTACGTCTCCCACCTGAAACGCATCTCCGACTCTGCCTCAGTCTCGACCTTTCCGATTCATAACATGGCTTCACGGCCATGATTGATCTGATCCATTCCGTCAACGGGTATGGCGTGCTTGCGTGCTATGGGTGCCTTGCGAGTCTCCGTTTGTGGGTGTGCGTTGAAGTGTCCCCATCCTGAACTGAAAATGTCGAGTCCGCTGGCTCGGCTGGACTTCCTCCTCCACCTCCAATTCCCCTTCCGCATCCTTCATCCAATGTACTGTATTTCAACACTGGCTATCTCCAATGTAACTCGCCGGTTCGAGTATATTGCTTGCAGAGCCAAATACCCACAATCGGAGCACTGCATTGCAGTCCCGGCCGCATACACACATACACACCCTTGGCCGTATCCCTGAAACTCATCCTCCTATCCAACCCAATCAAACCTGCCATGTCTCCTCTACCCTGGCAGGTAAATGACCTCTCTTGAGAGACATGAGCAGTCCCACGCGCCGAGATCCTCTCGGCCGTGGTGCTGTCTTCGTACATAGTGTTGACTCCGGCTTGATGTACGGAATACGTGAACAAAACCAAAAAGTGCGGTTCCGAATTGTCATGTGGTGATAAATCCTTTCGCTGATATTGATACTACACATTTTCTTGCCTTTTCTTGCTCTTCTTGCGCCTATTTAAGTTCTTTTTATTATTGCTGTTGAATGCCTGCTTCTACCCAATACCCTACCGTTGATTTGGCTGGTATTCTCACTCTCCTTATGCTTGTGATTCGTTGTTTTGAATACAATTCTGGGCGGTCTCGTGATTCCGTTATTTTGTTTTATTTCATATTTCATATTTCTCGTTCTCATTATTGTCTCGAACCCTGGTCCTTGTGCATGCTATGTTTCATGGATATGGATGTTGGAGGGTCTCCTTTTCTTTTCTACTACTCATTTTCCTGCATTGTCATATATGTCGGCTTATTTCCGGAGGGACATACATAGATCGTTAGTGTTTACATGGTGTATGCTGAACTTGCGGATCGTGAATATGAATATGAATGAGAGTATGGGACCATATCATATCACCCTCGATATCGTAATATTCATCTATAATTGTAACATTGTCTGTTATTAGATTCGTTGGTTGCCGGGTCTGTCTGCCAGACGGGAGCATGCATTATGCCGCAATGCACTAGGTAGCAGTATTCCGTAGCCGATCATTGGCTGTATTCTAGCCAAGGCTATGTCTCTCTGCCAGAAAGGTGGTTTTCCCTCGTATCAGAACCACAGAATTGTAAGGTGGAATTCTTATTCAAAGCAGGGCTGTGTCGGCTCCGAGCGTGGCTTGGAGTAATAGATTCTTCCTTGATGGATGGTGGTACATATATACATACTTCAATCTGAATACAGGCTATACAGGCTATAATCAAAGCATAAACAACCGACTATCCAACTCAAAAGCCTGAATAAATCTCGGACCAACGCCGTGCACTACTACATATGCTGTATACAAACCATGTAGTTCCCCACAATCTGATTGGCGGAGAAATGTATCCCCGCTCCCAATTTCCCCCGCGTCTCCGCCTCGATGCGATCCCAGCGGTGGAACTTCTCCGTCGAGTTCTTCCATCGCCCCAAATGCCGTCCACTCTGGATGTATTATTGTTAAACACTACCCAATTGACCTACCCTGATCTAGCCGCCTTCAGTTCTGGGGTTGTGGCTCTCTCTACTGTGTAATTGTCCGCTTCGAATACCACCTACCTCTTTCGATAAGTTAGAGGCTGTTGTAACATTGCCAGTCTCGCGCGCTGGTCTCATTCTGGCCCTTGCGCACTGGCTCTACTCTATTCTATTTGACTTTACTCTCCTTCCACCTTTCACCTCCCGCAATTGACAGATACACCCGCCACCGTTTCCCACCCGTGCACCGCATACACACACACATACATACTCCCACGAGACCAAGTATGAAAACGAGGACTGTTATGCCATGATTCCGACAGCCGTTCCGCAGCACATGGCGACGCCGCTGCTCGACGATCCCCACGTCTCCGCGCTCAAGGCCCAAGAGCCTCCGCAAAATGACACAAGCGCCGTGTCGGTCTCGAATGCCACGCCCATATCTCCCGCCACCGTTGCCCCAGCCGCCGCGCCGAAAGAGCAAGTAGCATCAATCGCCGCACCGGCGGAGAGCGCTGCGGGGACAGTTTTGATCGTTTATGGTCCGAACCAGGAGCATATCGTGCAGCTGGTCGCGGAGGTGCTGGGCAAACCATGGACAACGGAGACGTCACTGGAAACACTATTGCAGGGTGGTGATGTTGGCGTGGTGGGGATTCTGGCGCGTGACCTGGCGCGCAGTCTGGAGAGGTGTGAGAGGTCTTCTCTGATCCTTGTGAACACGTATTGTGTGGAAGATGGGTCTGCGCCGGATGACGCGCTGACCGAGAGGTGTGATTATGAGTTTTTGTATTCTCGGAGTCCGTTCCTGCGTCGGGATCTGTCGCGGTTTTTGTCTTTGATTTTGGGTCAGACGAGACCGCATGATGATCTGCGTACGAAGACGCGGACGAATTTTATCTCGACGACTTTTCCTGATGTGCACGCTGCGTTGCCTAATTTGGATATTTTGTCGGTTGGATCGGATGCTGTTGAGATCCGTGTGGATTTGCTCGTTGAGCCTACGGTTAGCGGTCCTGCTGCTCCTGTCCCGAGCTTGAAGTATGTTGGGCAACAGTTGATGTTGCTGCGGCAGCATACTGAGTTGCCCATTATTTTTACTACCAGGTGTACGAGGGAGAATGGGAAGTTTCCTATGGATGACCCGGCTCTCTTTTATAAATACCTGCGTCGGGCTATTCAATGGGGTGTTGAGTATATTGATGTGGAACTTTGGCTCCCGGAGGAAATTCGGCGACAGCTGGCTGAGAAGAAGGGGCATAGTATCATCTTATCTGCATTCCATGACTTCTCCGGGACGTGGAAGTGGACATCGGAAGAAGCACTGCGCATCTTCACGGAAAGCGCCAAGTATGCCGACATCGTGAAGATGATCGCCATGGTGCACACCATCGAGGAAAATTATGAGCTGGAATACTTCCGCTCGACGATCAAGAGTCGTGGCCCAGGCCCATTATTGTCAGCTGTCAACATGGGCCAAATGGGCCAGCTCTCTCGAGCCCTGAACACAGTCTTTTCCCCAATCACCCACCCACTTCTTCCAATGATCGCAGCCCCAGGTCAATTGACAGCCGCGGAAATTAATGAAGCCTTGCATATAATGGGTCAACTTCCCAAACGTGACCTTTACGCCATCGGTTCCTTCCGCTCGACTCCACACTCAATGTTCATGGAAAAATGCCTGAATGAGCTGGGCCTCCCGCACAACTTCTCATCCATCGACCGCGGCCCGAAGGGCTCTGTAGAGTCTGTCATCATGCAACCGCAATTTGGTGGCGCCTACGTCAACCCCCCAGTGGCAAGCACAACATCTTACATTCCAGCGGTGAGCAACGCAGCCCGAGCAATTGGCTTAGTCGACACAATCGCCATGACCAGCGCCACAGAACCCCTCTCCGCTAAATCCCGCTTCATCGGCGAAAACGCTGCTTGGAAGGGTATCCGCGCAACCCTGACGCGCGAGTACGTCCCTTCAGCATATCAAAACCGCGCTGCCATAATACTAGCAGGCAGTGAAGCAGATGCCTCGGCAGCGATCTTTGCGCTGCGCAGTCTTGGCGTTGGAGCAATTTATACAGTCGGCTTCAAAGCTTCAGGCCCGTTAGCCGCCGGTCTGGAACCATTCACATCCATCCAATCGGTGAAACTAGTTGAGCAGCCTTTCGTCATTGTCTCAGCCTTACCACCAGAGAAATCCCTTCTCGTCCAACCCCTGCTTCGGCATTATGGTGCTAACGGCCGCTCATCACCCCCTTCGACTCGGGGAAAGGTTTACCTGGATCTAACCAGTGGACCTCGAAAGGGTGATCCCCTCGCTGTAGCTACAAGTGCTGGCTGGACAGCATATGGGTTCGAGGATGTTACCGCATGGACGACTGTCGAAACGCTTAGGTTACTTGTTGGCCAGAATGTTCCTTTTGACTTTGTGCGCATGGCGTCTGGGCGGCCGTTGTTTTAATCGGTTCTAGTTTCTATCTGTTGTGCATGCAATAGATTGTTATATTGGATCGACTTTTTCAGTTTCTCGGTTTCCTTAGGTGTTTCGGTTGGGGTGCATTTGGCTTTTTTTGATATGCGCTAGAAATGCATGGGTATATATTATATGCTTCTAGTGTGTAGCTTGAAGATATCTTACTCTTAGCTCTCTTCTGTATAGATACATAGGATGTTCGTGAATAACTTTTACCCCAGATATGCCAGGTACACCTCGGGCCCGATAAGCCCTTATCAAATCCGGGGTTCAGCCCCTCATTCTCGTCCCCAGTCTATCCCCAACTGCTTCCAGCTTCCTCTCTCCCTTTGCCTTACACTAGTGTGAAAAGAACAGTACAATGCATCTTCGTCCCGACCACGCAGTGCGCGACCTCCCAACCCTCCACGCCTTCATCAAACAACATCCCCTCGGCATTATAACCACATCCCTTCCTTCAGAAATCCACCCAACCCTCCAATGCAGCCACATCCCTTGGGTCCTGGACAGTGAAGCGACAATTCCAAATACGCAAACAAACAAAGAATCCAACAATGCCGTGCCCCCACCTCTAGGAGTCCTCCGCGGCCACATCGCACGCCAAAACCCACAGTCTAAGGCGATGGTCGATGCTGTGTTGGAGAATACAGCAAACAGAAACCGCGGAACTAGTATCCCGGGTGCATTCCCGACATTGGAGCCGGAGCTGGAATCAGAACCAGAATCAACAGGGCATACCCTCCCCGGCGAGGTG